AGGGGGATGGGGCAAGTATGCCACCTCCAACAGCTCTTGACTGTGCTGACATTTACCAAGTTTATGTGCTTCATTCAGCTCTTTAAAAACCCTAAATGAGGTATGATAGACCCGTGCAGGTGAGATTAAAGTGGATTTCACTGCAGTGACGCTGTCAAAACGCTACAGCAACGTGCTCAGACGCAGCTGCACCCGCTGTTCTTGTATAGTTTAATCACGACAATCTGTTTTATATGAAATTAAAACAAACAAACAGCTCACCTTTCTCTTGAGAGCTGGAGTTGATGTTGTTGCTCGGCATCCTGCCCGTGGTCCTCTTGGTCCACGGGTTGACTTTCGGCGGAGGAGCTTCGACAACTTTCCTCTTCACCGTCTCCGCAGCCAAGTCAGCGCTGCTGCTGCTGCTGCTGCTGCTGCTTTGGTCATTTTCTTTATCGTTTTCGTTGCAGTTCTTGTGCATGTCCGTCGGGCTCTTGGCTGCCTCGGAGTTGGGGCCATCTGCTCGTTGTTTCTGCCCCTGTTCTTCGTGCTCTCTCTGCAGGTGAGCCCCCCCGGACGTGTTTTGGCTCTCCGCTGTCAAACCCGAGTCGACCTGATTAATACACTCAACCTCTGTGGACATCCTGCTAGTTTCCTAACAGCGCACAGTGTTAAATCCAGTGTGAATATTTGGTCCTTGCTCTCTTATCCCAGAGAAAAGTCGCGAAAAGCTCGGGGGGGGGGACACCACATCCACAACTTGGGGTAAACAACTTTTGGGCTGGACCTCGCTAGCCAGCTAGCCAAGTAGCTTCTACAGCTAACAGTTAGCTAGCTAGCGACCATGCAGAAGTCAGCGAGCTAAATGTTGTTGTTTACCGCCCCGATCGACCGTTACATATCAACACGTAGTTACCTCCGAGTATGTAGTTTGTCACCATGTAAACGACACACGCTGAATTGGTTCGCCTGCGAGTTTCTTTAACTTTTAAAAAACAACTACTACAGCGACCTCCTCTCGGTCTCCCGTTTCAACTCCACGCTAACTAAGTAGAGCTCGTGCTGCCAGCTGCTGTGTGCCTGTAAACAGTGACTCTGCTGCCCCCCGCGGCCACGCGACGGTACTGCAGCACACATTTAACTAACTGCAAACAGTTCCTGTACAATAACCCAGTAACTCTGTCCCTAATCAGCTACATGTTTACTAGTTACCATTTATTATTAATTCACCATTCTCTATTTCAGAGCTGTTCATATTGTCATTTTGCATATTGTATATACCAAATCCACCTACCTCTAGTACATAACACCTGCACATAATACTTATTTGTTCCAGCAGCCTTTTCACTTATATTCTTTCTGTTTATAGTGTGTATATATGTGTTCTCTATACTGTAGCCGGTGTGGGATTTTATTATTATTGCATTGTATCACATTGTGAGCAATGTACAATCCTGAGTCAAATTATAAGCATATTTATATATATATATATATATGCTTATAATGCACATGGACAGTGGTGGAAGTCGCAACCTAGAGCCCCTTCATATCAGGCTGGCCTTCCAGTTTGTAAATCACGACCGAAAACTCACCTTTACTCCTAGGCTTTTAACCCGGGTTGAGAGTTGTATGTATTTTATGGTCTATTTGTGTTTTTTAATTTAATTCATTCATGTTAATGTACAGAACGTTGGACAACCTGGTTGTTTTTAAATGTGCTTGATAAAAAAAAGTTGGATTACATAAATGTAAATAAGCATCCCTAATGTTGCAACTGGTATTACTTGTGCAGCTTAATTTACAATAATACATCATCATTTATTGACAGATTTGTATTTTGTATTAAAGATCTGAATCTGCAAGGTAAACTATACCTAATGTAAAGTAAATGTAGTGGAGTAAAAATCATAATATTGGCTTCCAAAATGTAGTGGAGTAGAAGTATAAAGTAGCATAAAATGGAACAAAACAGAAATGCTGTTTTACAAGTAAAAGTACTGCATTCACAATTTCACTTCAGCAAAAGTACAGAAGTATTATTAACAAATATGCTTAAAGTATCAAAAGTAAAATGGCTCATAATGCAGAGTGGCTACTGTGTTACAGTGTAATACTGTATATATTATTGACTATTATTATTAATGTATTGATTTTTAACAGTATTTAAATGATGTTGTTGGTCAAGGAGGAGTTAATAATAACAATTTCATATACTTTTGGTAGTTTAATCTGTAAAAAATCATCATATTTTATAGTGATATAGTTTTTTAATGTAAAATCTTAAATTGAAAAGTGATAGGTAACTATGGCTCATTGAAAAAGTACAAAGTTTCTTTCTGAGATGTAGCGGAGTGGAAGTATAAAGTAGCATAAAATGGAGATACTCAAGTAAAGTACAAGTACCTCGTTATTAAAGTAAGTACAGCACTTTTTAACAGGGACAATATAGACGCATGTTTAGCTGAAGTTAATTTGAAGGTGAACCTCTGGTCCCTTGACTTTTACATTTAAACAACTAAACAAACAAATGAATGTGACAGTCAGAGGATAAAAACATCAGAATAGATAAACAGACTTTGTGTCTAGCGGCTGTACACGACTATGAATATATGAATGTTTGTGTGTAAGTATGTATCTATACGGTATGTAACGGTACATGTCCATTACTGGGTCCATTAAATTCATTGTTGTTTAAGCCATCGTGTCAACATAATGACAAATGTGCCAGACAAGTAAGTTTTACCCAAAAAAAGTCAGTAAAATGATAAACCCATTAAATGTGTACTAGTAATCTATTTTCTCTGATAAATTCATTAGCAGAATTGTTGTTGACAGTAAGCCAAAACTATGACTGACAGAAAACTGACAGAAAACATGATATTTGTATGTATTTTTGTATTTTTTAAGGTTACATATTGCCTGTTGTTTATCTTTTTTGGGGGGGGGGGTGCCTCACAAATGATTGACTCGGTTTTAATTGATCAATGGTATTTAAATTGTTTTGTTTTTTAACTAAGTTAAAAAAAAACAACTTCATATTTTAATAAAAGCTAATGCAATAAATAAAGATATTTTAGAAAATGTTGCACCATAGTGTTTAGTATAAAGAGATACTTTCTTTGTTACTTTAACCTGACTGATTATCATGTTTTACCAACAAGTAACAGCATTAATCAATTTTAATTTTTTATTTTGTAATGTTGGACTATCTCTGAACAATGAGTAAAAGAACAAAGTTGTTAAACTAGATAGTTCATTTTACTAAGCGATCCACACTCAACCAAATCAAAGCATTTGCAAATCCAACCACAGAATATTCAAATCACAGCGCCGTTATCTTCCCCTGTAGACAGATACACAGTTCAGTACGACACAAACACAACTACAACAATATAAAGACATCGTGGGACAAAATCAGAGCTTCATATTTGTCTTTTTTGTGCTCAGTGACATGAAAATGTCTAAGAAATGTTCAGACTCAGTCAAGAAAAGCAGCAGGTTATTCTGAAGACACGAGCTTCTCTAAACAACAAGGTATATATTTCATGTTTTTAGTGTGGCAGCAAGGAAGACGTGTCTATTTTGTGTAGTTGCAGTATTCTGCTCAATCCTGAGTCATGGGTTTAAAACATTTTTATTTTACTTTTGAGAACATTTTTAGCAGTGCTCAGAATAAATCTAATCAAAGAAGATGAGACATCATCAGTATTGGTAACTGGTGTGTTGATTGATCTCATCACCAACTTGAATGTAAGAATGCGCCTGGGGAAATGTAAGAAAAACATGTTTCCTATAAACACCTTTTTTATTATCTACATTAACAAACATGAAAATCTTGTGTTTGTACCTTTGTCGGGCAGATGAGTTTTATTGGCTCTGAAAATGTCTTTATCATTTCTTTACCTCCCTCAGGCTGGAAATGAGGAAAAAGTGTTTTCAATGTGAGAGTCGGTGTCAAAACAACTTACTTCACAATTATATACTATAATTACATCTTAATTAGCAAGCTCTTTTGAATGTCAAATTCAAATCTAAGAGTACATCCACATGAAGCCAACCAAACACGTTTTTTCATTGTCGTAGCTTTTCTCATCTTAAATTGGATCAAATAGTCCCTGAAAATTGTTTCAGAGGAGGCTCATTGAAAAAATATTACATTAGTTATCAAAAGGAGATCAAATAGAATATCCTAAATGTGTGTGATGTGGTTAAAGAGAGAGTTCAAAGATACTGTAGTTTGGGGGAAGTCAGAAACAATAAATGTCTTCGGAGATACCTTTTTATGTATTTGGTGTAGTGTGAAGTTATGTCAAACAGCTCAATTGTTGAGGGACCAAATAACATAATCATGATCTCATAGGCAGCCAGGACTTGCATGAAACTAACCAAGTAAACTAAGAGGGTGTGGGGTAGCACCTTTTGTCAAGCTTTGTCTGAGGGGAGGCCCGCAGCTACAGACTTTGAAAACCCCTGCAATTCTACAATTTCTGTCTGCCTTAACTTCCTCTGTGGTCGCTCATCTTAAATGTCACTATAGCTGTTGTCATGAAGCTGTATTTATGTCTATTTTCTCAGGTGACTATTTTATGTTCATTTGGTCTGACAAGAGAAAAATCTGCGAATGAGGACAATGAAGTTATGAGTTTGACTATATTAAAACAGTATAATTGATTGCAGAGAGCAGAAGGTTTAACTGAGCAGTCTGTCTGCCTCACTCGGTACCCGATGTTGGCTGCGATGCACAGATTTGCGTTTTGCCGACTAAAACAGGACAGAAAAGAAGTGATTTATCAATTTTTTTGTCATTCAGGCATTTTACTGTCAAAGGCGATTTTTACGAAAGCGACATTTTGACCTGAAATTGCAAGTGTATTCTCATTTAGAATTAGCCAGTGGGTCAGTGTTGTTAGCTTGTTAGCTTGCACACACCTGGAATTCATAGTTAATCTCAACCAGCTCCTTCAGCTCGGTGGAGTTTTCTTCAGGTTGGATGAGGCAAGAGCAGAAACTCCTGTGAGCAGATTATCACACTATTGGATTATCAGGTTATCAAACAGATTATCAGATGCACTGATTTAAAGCACATAAACCTTTTTAGTCACCGAACCACATGATTTACCAAATAACATACTACAGTATATCATCAGGAATTAGTTTATGTTAGTTTTCCTGATATTTTATGTTAATTCTTAACAAATCAAGGTGAATAAATATGTGTTTAAGTCAGTAATTATAGGAACATTAAGTATTCCCAGGTAAAATAATAGATTGGTATAAATCTAAACCTCATTTTTCACATTTTATTGACGACGTTTTGATCGCCTCTTTGTCTAACCAAATTTCATAGCCAAATCTAGCTAGCTCAGCAACCAATTCTTGTTTATGACTCTATAAATCTGATAATGGTGGGAATATGAAGCCTATTCTGCCGATTAACAGTGACTGCTTGAGTGATAAAAGTATTATCTAAAAACATTCTAATGAAAGTTTAGACATCTACATTATATCCTTTAATTTAATTTGGTGGTATTTAGATCCTGCATTTTTACTTGAGGTGTGAGAGGTTTGGATTACAGGTGAAACCAAAAGAAGAAAATGGTCAGGTAACTTTTGAAGCTGACAGCCCAGAGTTGGTCTCTGAACCTCTCTGAGAGGCTTCATGGGAAGAATCTGCACCACGTTCACGATGGTCCTGGGGATCTGAAACCAGAAGAAAACATTCATTGACTGCAATCATTTCTGAATAATAATGAGCGTATAGCTTTAAATGTCTGCCTATCCCCGCTCATACTTCATAGTTTCAGTATGATCGAGGAGAACAAACCTTTCCCAAGAAAGCAGAAAAAGGAGAAGAAGGAGGAGGAGGAGGAAGTATTTCACATGAAGAAACTGTTCACAGATATAAATGCATACAAGGAACAGTAAATAAAAGGTTTAACAATACATTCACAACTGAGGCAACACAGTCCACAGACAGTATTAACTGTCCCAGAGAACTTAACGTGTGTTTTTATCAATACCACTGGCAGAATAAATAGTTTCTTGGTTGTGTAAGAAAGGTTAAACCCTCCCTTTACCTTTTTCTATTTTTAGCCACGCCAGGCCTCTAGGCATGGTGATGTTGGTCCAGACCGAAATATCTTGACTAAAGAAGAAAGCCTACAGGAAACCTTAACTGTTCACATTAGGGCCTGCTAACATGAGGATGTTAGCACTGAGCTCATAGCTAAGCCAAAGTACAGCTGACAGGCTGACAGTGCACAGTTAAAAGCGATAAAGGACAGATGATAAAGGGTTCAGTATGCTTGGAACAACCTAGCTCGTGCGACGAGTTGTCCGACCACATCTGAAGGCGAATGTGTTTGTAGCTGCTTGAATGGTGAAGCAAAAAGCCTGCTGTCAAAGAGAGAGGTGAGACGCAATAATAATAATACATATTAAAGTCTTTTGAAGTGCAGTTGTCGCTAAGAGGGGTCAGGTCTTGTCTGAGACAAAATAAACCCTTTTGATTTAGGTTTCCACACTTAGTTTCCTGGTATTTCTGCTGGACTTTTAATCAAGAGTTTGAGCAGAACATGTGAAGTGAACAGGAGGATTATTATTATTCTTATCTTTTGTTATTCTTTCATCTAAATTTTCAGTTTTTTTGTCATTTATAGGCCATTTTGTAGCATGACAACTATCACATTGTTACTCTGCCCTCTCTGGTTAAAGGGTAGCTTTAGTATTTTTCAGTCTGGACCTCATTTTTTGAAATTGGGCCAATATTGAGACAGGGATGCTGTGTCACTAACGTGTTGTTTTTGCCACTGACAGACTCAGATTGTGGAAAGGACCCCAAAGGAGATAGACTAGAGAATATTCTTTTTGTTTAACCAGAAACAGTCACTATAGCACTCTCATTAAAGCCACCAGACTCCATTGATAAAAACTGTAATTTTACCTCGCAGAACATGGGAGTTGCTGGTCTGCCTGAGGTTTGTTTGTGCTATTGTGTGACTTTGGTGTTTTAAAAGGGCTAAAAACACCAAAGCCACAAAATAACACAAACTAACCTAACCTAAAATTACTATTTTTCTCAAGGGAGTCTGGTAGCTATGATAAGGGCTGTTTCTGGTTAAACAAAAACGATCTTGCTGTTTAAAAATGGTTGTCAGACACTTACTTAATAACAATCTGAGCCTGTCAGTGGCAAAAACAAGCACTATCGTGGACGTACTCTGACGGTGCGCAATTGCCCTCAAGGATTATGTTTCACTGGAAGTTACTTTTGACACCACCCCGCATCACTGATGGTTTGAATGTAGACAGAAGTGGGTTTAGTTGCACCTGTAACCACACCCAACACAAATCAGGGTGATCAAATTGTAACTGAGCAAAACAAATCCACGTACTTACTTTGTCTTTACAGTAATCGCAGATGTCGTTCATGCCGATCAGCATTGTTACCACTTTCCAGTCCTCTTGGAAGTTCAGACCCTAAGAAGAACGAAGCTTTGGCTCAGTTTGTTGGGTTTTTTTTTTTTAATTAGCAGAATGATTAACACAGAGACTCACTGGATAAGACCTGAACGTGTCTATCATGTGTCTTATCTGACCTGAGACATTTCTGTAGAACAAACACACAGTGACAGTGACATCAATAAAACATCATAAAATCATCAAATAATTTGCAACTGTAATTATTTTGATCTTTGAACTTGTTGAAGACACTCAGTGTCTCATCATGGTTGCAGCCTCCTTGCTGATGCTTCCTACAGTTGTACAATAAATAAAAGTTGTACAGCTTAAAGTTACACTCCATTATTTTCATATCCATCTACCCTAAAACTTGAATCCCAATTAGATGCCTGTCCCTTTTACTGGCCTGGTCCATCTATCTATCTATCTATCTATCTATCCATCTAATCTCCAAATATTCCCCCCACCGTGTGAAACTCAACACAGCTCAAAGTTCAGTAAATTAAATTATCAACACAGACAGAAGAAGAAGACATTCAAGAAGACAAATTGTTCCAAATCTCAAGAAACATTATGGACATAAATGAAGTGCAAGTAGGCTTCCCGGCCGTCAGAGTCTCACAGTGAGTTGTGGCCTGTGACGGCGAAGTTGAAGCCGGTCTCGTTGACAGTTGTTGGGTTGCCGTGGAATGTCATCATGGGTGCTGGACCCAGCAGTTTGGGATAAAAGAGTTTAAAAATATCTGTAAGTAAAAACAAAAGTCCTCATAAAGCAAAAAGGATCCTGTGGTTTAGTCAATAATAATAATAGCTCTAATATTTACCAAACCAGATTACTTTATAGTGAATATGAGTATGAATTGAATACACAACACACCCACGCTTCCTGTTTTTTAAAATTATTTTAAAATGAATAAAATAATTTTTAAAAATTTTATTTAAAAACACACACATTTAATTTTTATTTAAAAAAATATTTTATTTATTTTTATTTTTTGTTTGAACATACAAAACCACATTTTTACTTTTTTATCTATTTTATTTATTTAATGAACTACATGTATTGAATTGTTCTTTGTATTATCTTTTAAGCTTTAGCAATATTGTTCTTTGACATTTGTGCCAATAAAGAAAAACTGAATTGAATTGAATTGACAGAGATTATTAAGGTACAAACGAGCCATGTCGTCTTGGAGTCAGAAATAATCTCATTGCCAAAGAATCACAGATTGTTGCAGAAGAAGAAGATTGATACAGCTTTTTTTCATTCGTTCATTCATTAGTTGTCGGATTAGTTTAGACTGGCAGATCAAACTTGCTTTCTTTCGGCTTTACAAATTGAAATTAGATTTTTCTGCTCCTCTGATTCTTTAACTGTAATTGGTTACTGTAATTTTGATAAGTCCCACATCCTCCAATGCTGTAAGAAGAGAAAGAGACAGTTTGTAATGAATGGAGACCAATTTAATTAATAATATCATGTATAATGTGACTGGCAAGATAAGATAAAGTTAAATAAGGCCAGTGAACTTAGATACAGTGCTGCAAAACAATTAGCTAATGAAGCTCAGCATAGTTCAACCAGGAAGACCATCTTCACTCTCTCTCTCTTTTTCACTCTCTTTCTTCTTGCCTCTCCAATCAGCTGACCAGGGGCATTCACTTTTTAGCTCACCATTCAGATTCTTGCCACGATCTCCATCACCCAATTGTGCAGTCACCGTGAAGGTGTGTCGCTGTAATAGTAGCCTAAAGGTATTCATGAGCAAAACTCTCCAAATATTGACAGACGTGTTGGTGGTGGAAGAAGTACTCACTACTTTTAAATAAGTAGAAGTAGGAATGATTGTTAAAAATGTTAATTGAGTAAAGGTGCGAAGGTGTGTGACAAAATGTGCTTAAAGTAAAAAGTAAATATTGTCATAGTACGTAAACATAATAGCTCATTTATGAAATTTGAAATTATATTTTTGGGATTAATTATTGATGCATTAATATGTTCCTCACTTTGATGTTGCAGCTGATAAAGGTGGAACTTTTCCCGTGTAAATTTCTCCCTGGGAGTAAATTTTAAAAAAATCTTTTATCTTATCTTAACTTATAAGAAGACATCAAAATGATTATACTTTGTATTATTGAAATGAATCTGCAAAGTAACTCGTAACTAAAGTCATAAATAAACATAGCGGAGTAAAAAGTACAACATGAGGTTTGTGGAGTAGAAGTAAAATGCAGCAGAAAATGTGCAAGTAAAGTAAAGTACCTCAGCGTTTGACTTAAATACAGTACTTGAGTAAATGTGCTTGCTTTCTACAGGTTGGTTAAGTGGCGCTCACCTGAGGTTGGGACGGTTGGAGACGGACTCATATCTGGGCAGCTGAAGGGAGGATGCAGATGACGCTGGAGAAAATCCATTCCTAAAACATCCTGCAGGAAAACCACACAGACACGTTCCACCGTTAATATGGTTTTGAGAAAGTTGAGTGATGTCTAGTTTTGCCTGGAGGTTTGTTTGTTCTGAGTGGAACTGAAATGGCTTCAGGAGTACATGAACTCTGATACATTCTGACTGATGTGTCAAAAAAAGGCTGATCGTTTTAAACTTCACTCAACATTATCCAACATTTTGTTTCTATCTGACAGTTTTTGCAGCAGCATGTAGACCACCAGTGGACACTTGGGTTCCTTCCACACAAAGTCCGCGTTGAGCTGCTTTCTCTCCTGGCTGTGTTTTGGTGTATTTTATCATTTTGATGTGTTGGTCTCATTAAGTTACTGTTTTAGATTGGTTGTTTTTATGATTGTTTTAGAAATGTTATTCATGATTTGAAAAACCCCTTTTTGTGTAACTCTGATTTTGTGGATAATTCTGTTCTTGCATCTATATCTTATTGTTGTTGCTGCCTGTCTCAGCCAAGACCCTTCTGAAAAACTAGTGTTGAATCTCATTGAGGCTTTCCTGGCTAAACAAAGGAAAGACAAAACTTTGCAGGGTCTAATTATCCATGTAAACTGTTCAAGCCCAAGTCTTTTCTCACATATCAACAGCGGCCTATATCCAGCACACCTGGTTGCTAGTTTTATGATCTATAAGTATATTGGTCTAAATTCAGGTGCAAACACTGTCCCAACACAAGTCTGTGTGCTGCAAACTGGAACTGACTCTCAGCCCAAATCTGCCACGTACTGGAAAGAGCCAGCCCCGGGACTACAGTCGAACATTACCCAAGCTGGCTAAACTGGCACATTTACAGAAATATCAGCTCACAATTTATCAGTGCGCAATGTCTCTGTAAACGTAAACTCTATAAATAAAATAAATTAGGTCTTTCAGGCCCAGCTGACTGGATACCTGTGGATTGTGCACCGCAGGACACAATCGTCAAATTTAAGACATTTTAAAACCTTTTTGGTCCTTTACCTGAGAATGTTGCTACTTTTGTTCCAAATAAGTCATGGAGGAAGATTTCTGCAAAGACAGCTAAAGTACGATAATTACCTGAAAGTCAAGCTTAAAACATACAGTCGCAGGAAGAGTTATGGGTTCAGGTGCATGTGGGAAAGTGGTTTAAATGAACCTCTTTTAAAAGAAAAACAATCTATCACACCTGCTCAATGATAATAAGTTTACTATCTGAAGCAGCAGACTGTGCACACACCTTGCATAAATTGGCAATTCCGTCAAATTCATTCATTTACAAAACATGTTGTCAAATAAGTTTAAAAATAAATAAATGTATCTGAAATGTAGCTGCATACTTTTTCTGATTAAATTTCTGTAGCTGAGGTCAGTGAACAAGTCAGATGTTTGATGAACATCTAAATGTATATACACACACACACATTTATTGATTCTTACTCTCAGACTATTTCACTTATGCAGTGTGAAACTCATATTTAAATTGTAGTTATTTTATTTAACTTATTCAGAGTTACTGGCAGTGATTTGTAAAATAGCCCCACACCAGATTATCCTGTGATCCAGCTGTGATAATAATATAAAGGGCTGATACAGAGAATTAAAGTGTAGAAGAGAAAGAAACAGTTTGGTTTGGTTCTGTAATGTCACGCAGGTTACACACTGCTAAATGTTTCAGATGGAGACAATACCTGGTTGAAATGTTCTTCTTCTTCCCTGAATGTGTGGCCTGCAAGAGAGAAGAAAAATTATAAATACACATTTATTCTAGGTCTCATAGGCAGATGGGTTCAGATCCACACTGAAGACGAGCTGTTGTGCTGTAAAACAGCCACTTAAAAGAGGTGTTTTTAGGACAGACTTCACAATGACTACATACAGGGAAAGAAAATGCAAATAAACTGCTTTCATTGATATATTGATGTAACACTTACCATCTACAAGACATGTGGCAAATATAAGGACTGCAAATAGCACACAGGGCAACATGTTTGTCTTCCAAGAAAGGAAAAGAAATTAAGAAACAAACATAAAGAGTCATTCTGCTGCTTGGAAGCTTTATTAGGGTAATATAACCTTTGTAATAAATACTGATACATCTTATCTTTGACCTTTGTAGTCAATGCAGCCAGAGAGAATAATATACTGTAGATAATCGATTTGTAATAGCCAACACTTAAAGTCCAATTTAAAATGTCCGTGTTTTCCAGATGGTCAGTAGATCGTTGGAATTTTTACACGACATTGTAAATACCTGGATGAATGAGATGCAAGTGTTATGCTGTCTTTTGATGCAAGAGAGAAACTGCATTTCATTCACTTGTACACTGTTGCATGTGGTTGAATGACAATAAACTTGAATTTGAAACTTGATGTAAGTGAAGTCTGAATAGATCATTAAGGTCCATGACTTATTTTAAAAGAGCCATGGAAAAAGCCAAATGTTCTTCTTATTATAAGTACTTTGTTGTTTTTAATTTGAAATTACATAAGAAACCACCTGATCTATTTACTTGTAATTCTACATTCTTGTAGTCCTTTGTAATGTTTAGTCTTTTCAGTTGTTGTAAAGTTATGATTGTATAAGTGCATGTATGTCTCTGTTCTATAATGGCTCTTTTTATGTTGATTTCCAATAATGCCACATGCCTGTCTTGTTTTTCTGTTTCCTTTTGTTCTTTACCTACTGAAGGACTGCAGAGAACAATTAGACTTTTGCCAAAATTTGGCACATTTTATGTCCTGCTGATGTCAACCTTTGCTGTTCCTGATAAACCAGAATCAAAATCAGAAAGTAAAAATCAGCAGGTTTTTACACACGGAATTTGCCTTTGTTGAGCATAAGGTAAAATATATGAAACTATATATATGTATTCTTAAGTGAAAAAAGCTGTACAGTGTTTAAAATGAAGAGGTTGGACTGTGCAGAATATTGACTAAAGAATGTGCAAATGTTCATAGTATAAAGTATAAATTATATGTTTAATGTAAGGGAATTAATGTGACTACATAATGTGCAAATAAAGTATAGTCCAACACAACTGTTTTTGTTCCACCAATAACATCTTTTTACTTGGTCTGCAGTTTACAGACATAACTAATACATAGATACTCATCCTCAGATAACCAAAAACAGCATCTTTGATCTAAAAACTCAGCTAATTCTAGAAAGAAGAATTTACTTTCGTTTGTATGGGAAAACAAAATCTGTAAGGAAAGAGGCCATGTGTCCGTTTCTACCAATTTTTTACAAAAAACTTTAACTTTTAGAGAAATTCACTTGTTGTAGCCCAAACATTTCTTTTATACCATATCTTGTACTTTATGTTACCGCAGCTTTTAGACATCTAAATAGCTAATTTGAGTTAATAGTTAATAGTCTAATTGTTGAAATCAAAGAGGATTGGTAAAATATCAATAATTTAATTATTATTTCTCCAAACTTAAAATTGTTAATTACTTTTTATTAATTAAAAAAGGAAACTGCGGGGGTTCGTGACGTCATTATTGGGGTCACGAGGGTTGACCTCAGGTGTGTTTTTCAGCTTTGATCCTGCTAAAGGTAAACAAATGGACTCGGCGGTGGTTTGCGGTAAAAACATGAAAAATGTGATCGAATCGCGCAGATTAAAGCGAGTAAAATGCCTGGCCCGAAGAGAAGATATAATGTACGGTTCCCTCCTGTGAGTATTAACTTTATTTAGGCGTAATGAAGCTGTTGAAATGTCAGATTAAAACAAGCTAACTGTTAGCTGCGTTCAAGTAGCATGGAGTGTTCGGAGCACCTGCTGCTTTCAGGGCCTGTCGGAAATCTGGGTTATCAACGCCCTGACAAAGTGGTAAACACCACGACTGTTAGCCTTAATTTCCTATGATTTACGGGTCAAACTCGGGATATTTGCAGTGTGGACAGTTATGGTAAATCTGAAGGCGTTCATACCGACATTCAGTCTTGTTTGTCCACAAATTTAACCTGCAAGTTAAAAAACAAAACAAAAAAAAAACATACAGAATGAAGGAAAAGAAAGAAAGTAAAACAACACGATGGAAATGGACAGAAAATGACAAAGGAAAATATAGATCAGCATAAAAAGCAGATTCATGTGAGTTATGAGACATTTGATTTTGAATAACAGCATATTGGTTCTTTATTCTTTGGTGTTTTGAATCTTATTATGTACTTATTGAATACTTATAATTTATTTTTTAATCTTCTTTGATGTGTAGTAATTTATGTAATGTAAACACAAAAATAGGTGAACAGATGTATACAATCATAGGTGTCCCTTTCAACCAAATTAATTAATGAATGTGACAAATTAAAACTTCAAGTCATTTTTAGGGTCTGTTTATTATCATTTAGAAGTTTACGTCCTTTACATGTTGCTTTCATGACCTACAAGGAGTGCCTGAATGCAGCAGCTGAATTTGTATTTCTATCCTGGATGTCTCTGAAAGTGGTGAAATCTTTGTTTTTGCTCCCAGAGTCGCATCAAAAAGATCATGCAGAAGGACGCAGAGGTGGGGAGGATCGCGGTGGCGGTTCCTGTGATCATCTGTATCTTTTTTAAACCTGCAGGATTAGCTGTAGCTGATCAGTCCTCCGTTTTCCTCCAGGTCCTTCCTAAGCATGCTTGCGGGTTGTAGTCCTTCCAATATGACATTTTAACCTAGGTATCCTCTTAAAACATTGCATGCAGAAACTTGTTTGAATTGTTTTTACATGCTGAATCTCGGGTTGAAAATGTTTCAAATATCCAGTCTGACATTTAACTATTGTTAAAAGCTCAAAGAATGCATTCTTATTCTTTCCAGTTTTCATATTATGAGGGTGGAAAAGCCTTTAAAGCTGCATTAAGACCATCACAGGACACAAAACTCAACACTGAAACCCGAACACATGGATTTCTTCAAGGTTTTGCAGCCACCACCCACTCAGTTTATCACACTGCTACTTTCAAATGAGGCATTAATTAACAAACAAAGTGCTGCAACAGTAAATAATTCAGGAAAATGTACCAAAGAATAGCCCTGCAGGTGATACAATCTGTTATCTGTTGTAGTCCTGGAGGAAACCGTCAAATATAGATAGACAGTGACTATATTTTTCATTAAAGGCCAGTGTCGAGAGGTTGTGTCGTCTTGAAGCAGACAGTGAGATGTGTTGAAGTCCCTGAACTGCAGAGATCAGCCCGGGCGCTGGAAATGTTCCTGAAGTGTCTGCTGACTGAAACCTGCCTGATAACCCAGTCGAAGCTCAGCGCCGTTGTGTCTGTCGCTCACATGTGAGTAAGCCTCCTGTTCCACCCTCACAAAAGTCTTGTTTTTATTCAGCACAATGGGCAGATTTCTGAAATAACTTCTGTCTGTGTATTTTATACAGTGTTTATATATATATATATACACACACACATGCTTTGTCATTATTCGTCTTTGGTAATTGTTCTGACTGGATATTTGTCAGTAAATCTACACTAAAGAAGGAATCAGGAAAAATCCAGCTGTGATGCATTCACTGCCTACATGCCAAACTATCTTCATACTATTAGTATTTAAGATTTTTTTGAACATTACTCTACAATGCACAAATACTTATTTCTTATTTCTTACTTCTTGGAGCTGCCTCTGTCCCCATCCAAAATTTAATTTACACAACAATCAGTCTGCATATCGACACTTTCAGGTATCCTTTTGTTTGTTTTTTTGTGTGTGAACGCACTTAATACCCAAACCTTATTCAGAATGTGGTATGGAATTTGGACAGATTTTTGAGAATGTCATGTTTATATTTCAAAAACAGTGTATATGAAGAGGGGATAATTTATTATGTTGCTGTGTAGGAAGCAGTGCATAGAGTCAGAGAAGCTCTTCCACTTCCTCAAAGACCTGGTGGAGCGAGCTACTTCTACAGCAGGCCAGAAGGACAACAGAGGCATGAGCATGTGGCCGTTATACAGGTAGAGATTTCTCATCAGTTATTATAGTGTTTGGAAAGTTTAAACATCACAAACTGAGTGGTGAAAAGTGTAAATATGATGAATATTGTGTTACAGCATTTAGGCTTTTATCCAAGTTATCATCTTTTCAAAGAAGTGTAGTTTATTGGTATTTTTAGAAGCAATAAAAAAAACACGAGGTGTAAACTATGTTTTAAATGTTGCGTGTTTGCAACTTGTTCTAAATTTCACACGTTCACTTAAATCTGAAACTGAAAAAGATCTTTGTGTTTATCTACACTAGAGCTGCAACGATTAATCGATTATTTTTCAACTATTAAATTAATCGGTAACTATTTTAATAATTAATCATTTTGAGTCATTTTTTAAATAAATTAAATTCACTGATTCCAGCTTCTTAAAAGTGAATATTTTCTGGTTTCTTTATGACTCGATGACAGTAAACTGTATATTTTCTGGGTTGTGAACAAAACGAGACATGCGAGGACGTCATTGGCCTTTGGGAAACACTGACTGACATATTTCCCCATTTTCTTGCACCTTATAGACCAAATAACTAATCTGTTAATCGAGAATAAAAATAATTGTTAGTTGAGGCGCTAATCTACAGTACATCTGCATTAGGGCTGTAATGTTTATCATTTTGAGTTGAATAATCGTTTAGTCTATGAAATTAATCTTCAAACTGCTTTTATTTTGTTCGACCAACAGTCCGAGACCAAAAAAGCAAAACATCAAATATTTGCTTAAAACAATGAATCGTTTCAGGTCTAACTTTTTATTTGACATGATGTTCTTTCCAGGAGCAGACGGCATGACTGTTCTGTTAAAAAACCCACTGAAGTGGTAGAAATGGCGCCACGATCGAGCCTCGACTCGCTGGACAACGACTCCAGCTCTGGTGTACGTATTCTACGACTGACAACACTTAACTCCCATTAATCCTCTGACAGGCAAACCAAAGATGATTTTATCTTCTTGTATCGATATGTTTTTAGAGCCCGTTATATATATAAAAAGGTTCCACGCTCTCGCTCAGTCGCAACATGAGCTACTGTTTGTGTTGGTGAACGCTCAGCCAAAGGATGTAAGTTACAATAGCGACCCCATGAGGCAGTGATGTTTATTACAGTCCACAAAACAAACTCAACTGGGCTAAAACAAACAAAGTTTGTCTTGTGCCACCAGAGGAAAGATGTAAATCTAAAAACTATAAAGAGGCAGATTCCTCCCAGGTTTCATAACCTCACAAGTGTTTCACGTGACTGAACCTACTCTTTCTTTCCAGGAGTCAGAGCTCTACATCTGCTTATGACTGTGAGCGACCAGAGGAATGTGCTGTCCACTTACAGCAGCATCATTTCATCATGTTGCTCTCCATTTAACGATTTACTAAGGGGGGGAAAAAACATTTAAGTTATATCATAGTTTAGACACTTGCCTGTTATTAGATTTGTTTTTTGAAAATGTTACATTTTGTAGTGAAGCCCTCTCCTTTTTTGTTTGTCATACATATGTGTTAGGAGGACAAGAAGAATCTATGTTTACACTAAAGAAAATACTTAATATATAAATTGCTTCTTACTTCTAAAGGGTTTTGGTTGTTCAGGCTTTGCAGTTGAATTGAAAATATAATGTTATGCTCTCATCAGCTTATGTCAGTTTAAAAGAAAAAACAAAGTGCTTAATTTGCTGAATAGTGGCCTTTGTGGTTTCTGTTTTGAGCGTTAAATTTTTAAAGCACTTGTAAATTAACGTTTTAAAGACAGCAAACCTTTGCATATGAAATGTAATCAAACTGTAAATAAATACATTCATTTCAGCCTTCTGTGATTGACAAATTTAACGTGAAGTTGAAAGATGTGCTCACGTAAAGAAAAACAAATCCAGAGTGTACAGGGATTGGTTTATTCACACCAGCTAATCTTTTTACATCGTGAAGGGATGAAATGATGAATAAATAGATGAATTTTGTTTTGAAAACTTTTACATTTTGAAGCCAAATATAGCAAAAACGTCTCTTAGCTTGCTACCCTAGCTACCCGCATAAGGAATGAAAACCTTTTTCATGTTTCAACATTTGTGCCAACATTCCTGCTTGAAGGTCCGAGCTGATCTGATCACACAGACAGACGCTGGGAGCTCAATGTGCATTAAATCAACTCTCAATGAAACAACTGAAAGTACAGTTCTGCTTAGCGATAAGCGACAGACTTCACGAGTAAAGTTTAAATCCAGTCCAGTAGTCATTCCTCCGTCTGGCAGTTTGAAAAGAAACATGCATCTTCACTAGTTACACTTTAAAAGAGTAAAGTAAGTAAAAAAAACAAATCTTTTTTAAAAGCAACATAATATGTTCTCAAATAAAAGAAAAACAACCTTTATTTTAACTCTTGCAGTAATTACATATTTATAGAAGTGGAGGCCAATTTACATTAGTGGTTCAATGGATTCTTTTGCTTTATTCAACCGATTTTCCATCGAGAGTCCCAAAGGCACAGTCCATTTACACCTTTGAACAACCGACTCAATACTGACAGGGAAAAATCTAGATTTAAATATGTTCAGAAATTAAAACGTTACACACAGAGACAGACTGGCCTCCCCTAGTTCATCTCTTTCTTAACTCGTTATGAGTTTGCAATGGGACATCTTGTGCCTGACAGATCGAAGGACAACAAGTTTAAAAATTCAGACGAGAAATGAAAACAGTACTACACTACACCATCTTCAGAAGAGCCGCGCTCCGTAGCCAAAAGTCTGTTTAATAGCTTCGAAGTAGTATCTCTTCCAGCCTTCTTTCGTCCGCTCCTCCTCGTTGTCCGGGACGCCTCGACACTCCACATTCAGCACAGTCTCGTTGCTCCGGTCCGACAACGTCATCGTGATTGTGGCGTAATGCTCTGAAACAGAAACACAACCGCACTTTAGCACCAGCAAGTTAAACTATAAACTTTGTTAATGAAGAACAAGTAGAGGTGAATTATGACCCCAGAGCTGAGGCTAAATTTAAAAAAAAAAAAAAAGTGACTGCAGCAAAGGACATTTCTTAGTTATTTCTTATCCGGTTATCTGCAGCAGAAGTACATTTTGTTGTCTTGTGGACAGAGTTAAAGGTTGTTGATACAAAATATTACTTTCCCAATAAATTATAGTCATAAAATGTCAAAGTATAAAGGAGTTACATCTCAAATGATCAGGTAAAGAGGTCTTTCATTCATATGTGATGTCTATTTAGTCTAAGCCAATGATTAAATTCCTGAATATTTTCAATAAAAGCAAGAAAATATTCATATTGGAGAAACTTTAACCACAGAAAATTTCCTTTTAACAAAATGAACCCTCCCATCCTGGTCACAAACTGTTTCAGATCTTTCTCTACACATAGTTCTATTATTCTTTTATAACTTACATCCGTTTATTCCATATTTATATATTTTTACATTTATTTATGTAAACTGTTGTCTACATGCTGCACCTTATCACCATAGCAAATTCCGTGTACGTGTAAAATACAACTTGGCAATAAAGCTCTTTCTGATTCTGAAATAAACAGTTTCAGCAAATGTAGTTTATATAAAAATGTGATTAAAATGCAGAATGATTTTTCCAAACAAACAATGTATGGAAAATCTCTGTTTCAGGAAATAAAGTTTTACTGATTCACTGCTTAGCTCTTGCCAACGCTATTCCCTCTCTTCATTCACTCTTTAGCTCGCTCGACCACGGCTGCTCTCTCGGCATTGGGTCGACTCATTCTGCCTTTAAGTTGAGTGTTTGTAAAGATACTTACAAATTTAGTCCACATTATTATGACCGCCAGCCACACACATTAAGCGTGTGTGAAAATGTTTGTGTGAAATATTTAAAATAACTATATAAATCAACATACCACAGGGCCAGTTGTTATACCTCCACTTCATAACTATTTTCTCATCAGGTACCTGGTGGAGAGAGAATTCATCCATTTCACGCACATGTACAAAAACCTACAAAAATCCTGATGTACATTTTGCTGATTTACACATGAATACATTCCAGATATTTTTATGGTTTAAGGGTTGAACGTCAGTCTTACCAGCTCTGTGAATTCACCAAAAACATTTCCGTCTAGCAGACGAAACTTTCCACCCTTCTCTCCGTCCACTATTGCTGGAGCATGTGTGAACGCCTGGACCATCTGCAGTTTGAACAGAGACAAACACTTTAACCAGACAGCCTAAATCAAATCTTTGTTGCATGCTTGTAACCTTCAAATGTGTATTTATTGATATTTATTCAGCTGTATGGCCTTTAAGTATAAAGTGAACATATGTTGAAAAGTGAACCAGAGCAGCTTAAGATACTGTGTGGATAAAAAATTAACACTCACCTCCTGGTTGAGGAAGACCCTGTAGAGATCAGCTGGTGAGGTGAGGAATGTTTCTTTCATGCTGAATTTACAGGTGGGGATCTTGACGCCGGTGTTGACTGGAACAGCTTTGCTGCTTGAGGAGGAAATCTGTTCCACACAACAAGAACAAAAGTCTGGTGAGGGGAGATCTGCTGCACTGCTCCAGGAAAAACACAGGTGGTTTGTAACTGATGATATTCTAACAGTGAATAATTTAGGGACAAGAGCTTTGTCTGAAAATGTAGCCAATGCCTGGAGATTACTTGTAAGTGAGACACACGGCACAAACCTGAGTTTTATCCTGCTTGGCTTTGGACTGTGATGGGGACTGTAGCTTGGTCACACCGTTGGCTGTAGGCAGGATCATTCCCTGGGTGAATTCTGCAATACAACATTTTAAAAATGTACAAGTTAGATTCTAATAGATAATCGTTGAGTATTCGTGTCCTCAGTATTGTAAAAACAACTTCTACTATTCAATACGAAACAACATTGTCAGCAAAGTTACACAAGTTTAACATAACAATTCTCAAGTTATGTTGTCACTTTCTAAGAGAAAGTGGTGTTGGTTCTTTCGGTTTGAAACAAACATTTTATTATTCATATCGAGCAAATGTCTTTTTCATTGTATTTTGATTGTTTTTATGTGGGGTTGTTAAATTTCCCACATAAACTCAAAATCCTAAATATTCCTCCTCACCATGATTTACATTACATTTTTTCTGCAACACTGATAACTGATCCTGTGTTGTGAGTTTTGGACCCCTTTATTGTTTCATTTCAGATCACTGACAGGTTTCACGCACCTGTTTTTAAGAACCCAACGTAGCTCCCTAGGGCTTCACGGATTTTCTCTGCTCCTTTTGTCTTCATAAGGTTGACCAGTGGCGTATCAGGTTCATCTTTATTCAACGACACAGAAATCTGTACGAGTGTCACAGGAAGGGCGTCACCACACTGTTCCTACACCACTCAGTCAGAATCATTGTGCACAAGTTCTTTATTAAAACTCACATCAAGATCCTCCATGTCGTTCTCATCAGAAAGGTTTGGAACTTCAATTGTTCCTTTATATTTGACTCCTGCTTTCGACTTTCCTGGTAAAATGAAGAGAATACAGATGTCAGCAGAGATAAGAAACCTCTGTTTTATCAGCTGATAAGTTTGTCTTCTACTAACTGTACTGTCAAAATGAGAAAGCTGTCGTGGCTTTACAGGAAAGAAGCACTACAGAAGGCAGGTGATTACGCTAAGTTAAATTTCCCCTGGATTAATTCAGCGCTGATAGCGCCAAGGACAGTCACCACAACTGTTTGCAAACGTACGACCAATTTAATGCAGAAATATTTCACTAAATTCCTCCCAAGACAAAATCAACAGTAGCCTTAGTCCTCCACTTACCGGTCCAATCTGCTTTCAGGTTCCATTCATAAAAGAAAATAAGTTTCCCTTTGCGGTTGTTAATCGAGGCCTCTCCTTCCAACTTGCTGACTTCTGTCACCTCGCAGCTCCCCTCTTCGTTCTCCACGCTCACTCCAAGGACCAGGGATTTCAATTTGTCCGACGACCAGTTTGTTGCATCTCGTTCAGTCCTGAAAAGTCCGGCAGCGATGAAACAACGCATATCCAAATGGGTAAATAACACAAATCTGCATATTCTATCTATCCTGTTTAATGTGAGTATATTGCACAAGATGCACAGCTCAAACAGACACTGGTTTGCTACTGACCAATTCATCTTTACATCAGGCATATTCTTGAAGAATTCATCCCCTTACCAGTCAAGAACATTTTGCTCTTTAAACAACTAATGCATCCTTACAAATCACTCTGGGTGAACTCAATTTGCACACATAACAAGCAGCTGTTCCCTTGACAGCAAGCTGCTGAAACGGAAAAACGGAAAATTTCTCAATCTATTTCACAGCAGCACTTTCTTGATAGTGAGGGATCACTGAGTAGATTCACTTGATAGAAACTTACTCATGACACAATGTCATATATCTAGAGCCCCTTCTTTGAGTCTTGGAACAACGCTTTAGATATGTCAGGAGAGGAAAGACATTTGTGAACTGAATCATGGAGGTGAATAAGGTTTCTTTTGTTAACTACTACTTCGAGCTCACAAGATTTCAACAACTGATACACGATAAAAAAAAAAAATACTGGTTATAAGTAGGGCTCTATGCGTGTATAATAATCTGTAACTTTTTAGCCACATAAGCATGTTAATACACCTAAACACGTGTTGTAATAGCTAACAACCTCAATGCATGCATTAGAAACTAACGTTACAGCAGCTAGCTACTCGAGAAGCTAACCTGAAAACGATCATAAGATCCCCAAAATGTGATTTTTTACTTTAATAATACTCTGTATTTTACACCCAGAGATGTCTATGAACAAGTGAACAACACTAATTGATCTACACAGGGGACCTAAATCCACAAAAAATAACAGTTGTGTCTTGTCACTGCGTTAAATAAGCGCTAACGTTAAATGTGTGCTGTTAGCATTAGCGGGCTAACTAGCCAGCCAGTGTCCTTTCATCTTTCTTACCAGTGCCAGTTGTTGACATTCGTCGCATCAGCTCTCTCCTCTACAATCCAACGAGGGTCTCCTTCTCCCCACTTCGCCATCTGACCAGCTAAATGTTTTTTTAAAAAGCTTTAATGTGTAACGCTGTGTGCGGAGAGCAGGTTTTGTTTGCCGGCGTCTGCCCGCTGCACGTTGTTTCTAGAAGCCTCTCGTAGCTCCTGCTGCTGGAGCTCTAGCGGTGCTCCTGCGTTTATGCGCCGAGTCACAGAAATTGCTGGAAACGGAACTTTGTGGAAAGAGGTATAAAAAAAAAAAGAGTTCCCCCCCCCTGGCGGAAGTTAATTTCTGAAGACTGGTTCCGCGTCATAGAGGAAGACTAATGGAAAGAAACATATTAGCAGCAAATGTTCTCCCTTATTGGTATAACTTTACTTCAGACCTGGACTGGAAGAACATTTGGTGCTGACCTTCAAAACATTTCATTCTGTATAAGGTTAAAGAAGTGTCTTTTTAGATGTTGCATCATTATTGTCCCTTTAAGGTTATGACCAGGCCTACCAGTCGCAATTTAAAAGCTACTAGTACTTATTTATTAGTCACTAGTAATTATTATACAATTGATTAGATACTAGTAGATAATTTTTAGTTACAATTAACTAAATGCAGATTTTTGCCATTGAAATCAATGGGGCTCTGCAGTTCAGATATCACTTTTTCATTAGTTACAAGAAACCTTTCGAATATTTGCTTGTAACTATTTCCATTTTACTAGTATCTATTATTTACTTTTAGATACTAGTACTTATTTCTGTAGTTACTAGTAACAGTTCCTAGTAACAGTTCCATTCTTAGAATTTAAATGTTACTATCAACAAGTAATTTTACTGGTCATTAATGATTGTAACCAAATAAAATGTACTAGTAAGAATGAAAATGTTAGCAGCAGGGTGCGATTTGTGAAAAAAAGCCCCTCATTTGAACTGTAGATTAATTGCAAAGTTTATAGGCTATTATTCGTGACTTGTAACTAATCAGATTGGGCCGTGGGCCGATGATTTACAGACAGACAGAGAGAATCAGAATCAGCTTTATTGCCAGGTATCTGTACACATACAAGGAATTTGACTTTGGACATTGCTCACAATGTGCTTAGAGAAGCAGCTAGATCAGAGCCAAAATAGCACATTTTAAAATAAAACCACGAATCGATCCAAACTGCGAGTTTTGAGATCAGTTGCATCACTAAGTAGGCTGGCATTGATCACCCTGAGGGCGGGATGAATTTTGTCCACAAAAATTATTCAGAGGGGGCAGGGATATACTCAATGCAAATCTCACCCTGGTACTAGTATCTAAGTAATAGTTACTAGTAACTATTCGAATAGTTTCTAGTAACTAAGGAAAAGGTGATGTCTGAACTGCAGAGCCCCATAGAGTTCAATGACAAAAATGTACAAATAGTTACTAGTATCTAATAAATAACTACAAGTAGTTTTTAAATAGCATCTAATAAGTTTTAAGGAATGAATACCATAAAGTGTGCAGTAACTATTTTTTATTTACTGGTAACAAATGGAATAGTTACTAATAAATAAGTACTGGTAACCTTTAGTAGTAATAGCGAGTAGTAAGTTTTAAGGAATTAAACTAAAGATAACAGCAACAGCTTGCCATACTATTTATTGTTTGTCTGTTTTTGTGTGTATTAGTCGTTCACCATGCTGTTTGTCAATAAAAGCTGACTTTTATCAGTAAAATGTCATTTTTCTTTCTCTAAAAGATGCATTCGAGGACAATACTCAGCAACACTTTAACAATAAAGTGCTTTATTTTTTGATGCTAATGCTGGTGTCTTTCTATAAAATAGATTTACTTGGTGAATGTAAAAGCTGAAATGATTAATGGATCAATCAATTAGTCCAATTTTGATAAACAATTAAAAATAATCAACCAAAACTGCAAGGTTGGATGCAACTTCAGCACAAATGTGAGGGTTTGCTGCTTGTCATTAAAACTTATTGAGTTTTGGACAGATGGTCGGACAAAACCAGGAATTTGAAGACGTCACCTTGGGCTTTGGGAAGCTGTTTTTTACTACTTTATAAACTAAACGAGTAATCAAAAAAGTATTTGATAGATTAATCAATAATGACAATAAACGTTAGTTGTAGCTCTAAATTCATCATAGCTGTTTTACTGTTGTGGTGGCAGCCCGGCTGACGGTGAGTGTCCTGTTTTTTTTCCCTCCTTTTTATCAGTTATTCTGCTTTTTCCTTGGTTTTCTGTTCCCTGCCTGCCTCCCTGTGTTTTCTCCTCTGTGTGTGCTCTCTCCCTCTGCTCCTGAGCCCAGCCAACGACCTGCACCTGCACCTCATCAGCCACCTCGTCAGCCTGCCACACCTGCCAGTAGTCGACCTCATCCCTGCCTGTATTTCAACCCCGGTTCTCCACACCACTCTTGCTTGATCGTCGTTGCTCCATACCCGGTGCCACCTCTGTGTTCAGGCTTTCATGTTTCTTATTTCCTCACATTTTCCCTGTGCTTTGTCTCCGTTATCCCTAATCCTGTCTCTCTGTCTGTTTCCCTCCCAGGTTCACTCACCCTCCGTTCAGTCGGCTGGGCTCATCCACGGGTCCTCTCCTCCTCGGACTTCCCCCACGGCGTCCTCCCTGTTCTCCCTTGCTTCCTCGGCCCCAGTGTTCCCCGGCTCCCTGGTCCCAGTCTCCTCGGTTCCCCGTGCCTGTGTTTCCCCGGCATCCACCTCTCCCTCCACTCCAGTCCCTCTACCCCTTTTTCCCTCAATAAACCTCCGAACGTTGCATTTGGGTCCTCTCTGTCCCCACACCACACGTAACATTTACTTCCTGAAGTGTTTTGGAAACTACATATTGATGTTTTTACCTAATAACATAAATATTAACAGGGGTTATAGAAGGTTACATGGTATAATACTCACTTACACTGTACTTAATATCAGTATTTTCTCATTAGGATTGAAAATATACAGTACGTTTTCTTAAGTAAAAGGATCAGTGACTCAAGTTAAAATTACTCCATTGCAAGTAAGTGCAAAAGTATTAGCAGCAAAATACTTAAAGTATCAAAAGGTACTTGTATTATGCAAAATGACCCCTGTGAGTGTGATATGTTACTAAAAGTCTACATGCAACATTTTGTTGTAGCTGTTAAAGGTCTATTTACTATTGGACTGTTAATCTATATTATGCATTGTATTTTCAAAGCTCATCTCATAGTTTGAATGTAAAATCTTAATCTGCAAAGAATATAAAAATCTAATAAACTAAAAAGTGCAATATTTCCCTCTGAAGATCTCACCTTGGGCTTTAGGAAACCGTGATCAGCAGTTTTAACACGTTTTATAGAAAAAACGATTGATCAATAATGGAAATAATGGTCAGTTTCATCCCTCATTGACCTGCATAGAGCATTTACATGGCTCACAGTAAACACATTCCTCCAACAGGCAGAATTTACATATCACACAGTAAGCAGGAAAATGAAGGGACTGTGCTGTTTCAAACAGCCTTTCCCCCTCATACTGGGGTCCACTGCATACTGCACTGCTGACATGGGAAGGAAACATTTTACCATCTTTATTTCATTAACATTGTTCAAAAGTGGTATTTCAGTCCCTTGTTGTGAGGTGAACAGAATCTGCAGGTGATTCTATGTACTGCATAACTGAGGCTTGTTTTACATCATTCCTATCACTTAAGCTGATTTGATTGTCCCTTCCAGGTAATATATAGATAAGTACTGCACCTACGGGATCCCAGATCAGTGAAGAAGTCTAATCAGCTGCCTTTTTGGCTCAAGCCCAATCTTTCTAAAAAAAAAAAATGTATGAGTGTCAGTTTCTGAAAGACATCGTTAACAGGAAGGCAGACTAAACTAATTACCAAGAGCGAAAACAAAAAACCCTCCATGGCGAACGTAATAAGCATCACCAGCCCCGATAATTACTGATAATTGCACCAATCAGACTCGTAGGCAGTTATGTGTGGTGGCCCTGGCATCAGAGAGATAAGACTGAAGGTGGGTGATAAATGTGTCAGTGACTAATTTTGCAGAAGGGAAATTCAGAGAGAGATAAACATACTAGATTTTGATATTTAATTAAAATTGCTCTGAAACCCAACTATTAACTCCTTGACGCAGATTGTCACAAATTCGCATCATCCTCTTCCTTGCAGACTGCAAGCCACGATAGCACATGGATTCCCCCAATGCCTGTTGGTGCATATTCAATACGTACCTAGGAACCTTTTGCAAGCCCTGGTTTCTCGTTTATGCCTGTTGTTGCTAATTTGCATGATACCTACACATGCCTGAATTTATATCTTATTTTTTTATTGTAAAAAATTCAGGCGTTAAGGGGTTAAGATGAATAAACATCATTCTAAGAACCTTAATATCTGGCGTTAAAAACATAATCGGCATCAAGATACGTATTGGACTCCAATTGCATTTACACTTGGTGTCTGATTACATTTTCTTATTTTCTGCAATCTCTAATAAGCAAAGTGAATAAATCACTGAAATAAATGTCCATTTATCTTTTATAGACTCTTTTGTATTAAAATTTGGACGGATTATTCACCTTGTAATCAATACAAATCACTACTGAAAACTTTTGTGTAAATGTCTCTCAGTTTAAAGAAGACTAATCAGTGGAAATAAGAAAAAATACATAAATTTAATGTACAATGTAATGTATTAAATTGTATTTATATAGCCCAAAATCACGAATCATACATTTACCTCAAGGGGTTTTACAGTCTGTACAACACAAGCCACCTTACTCCTTACCATACGGAGAAGGGAAAACTTCCACCAAAACGGATGAATGTGTGACTGTGAGCGATTTATTTGTTGAATTTTTATTGTGCATCTCTCTAATCCTCTGTTCGTATCCCACAAGCACATGAATGTCCGATCTCTCGCGCTCTAGTTTCTACTCCTTCTCCTCTCTTTTCACTCAGGCATCGGCCATCCTACGACCTCTCTCTCTCTTTTTCTCTGTCTGTGCCTCTCTTCAGATCTTTTGGATTTGGATCTTCGTCCTCTGGGAGATTCAGCCTCTCCTCTCGTCTGTCTCTCTCCCTCTGTGTGTTTGTTTCCTTTCTCCCATCTGTGTTGAACTTTCCCCCCTGTGTGCTTGTGTAGGTGGAGAGCAGGTCCTATGGCTCAGGCCTGTTGGGCAACAACAAAAGTTGCTCTGCATCCTCCCAGATCCATATTCTTCATATTGTATGTTTGTCATCTCTCAATAAGTCTGTCATCGTGAATGTACTGCATGTCTGTCCGTCATGGATGGGAACCCCTCCTCTGTTCCTCTTACTGAACATTTTTTACATTTCATTTATTCATGTAGCTGACGCTTTTATCCAAAGCGACTTACAATTGCTATACATGTCAGAGGTCGCACACCTCTGGAGCAACTAGGGGTTAAGTCTCTTGCTCAGGGACACAATGGTGGATGTCTTACAGTGGGAACCCAGGTCTCCCACACCAAAGGCAAGCATCTTATCTATGCGCTATCACCACCCTGTTAAAAGTTTTTGGGGGGGCATTTTTTTCTCATCAGAATTGACGGTCTAATGACACAGAGGGTGTTGTCTGCTGTGTAGATTGTAATTTTGGCATTTGTGATATTGGGCTATGTTGAGATACAGCTATGACTTCAATTTCACATCTGTTCATGCAGCTATGATGGTGACGATGATGATGATGATGATATAGTTAATGACGCCACTGGTATTGGGTGTTACACTGTTTTATCTTGTAAATTTCTAAATGTCTAAAGACAGTGGGAGATGTACATTTGTTATTTTTTGTGCTCTGTACATACAGCGATGCCTCCCTCTTTTACTCCTCTTGAAATTTCTCCCTTCTTTTCCCAAAGATTAAGATTTTTCTTGTTGAAGTTTTCGTTATTTGAAGCAGGGGTCCAAGAGTTTGGGGTGTCGTCCATGTTCTATAGATTATAAAGCCCTTTGAGGTAAATTTGTGATTTTAAGCTATATTAATACTACTTATGTGTAAATCATGGCCTACAGAGGGCCATCTTAAAGCCACAAATATCAAAACTAGCTACTTCACAAATTTGACACACGAATCATTTGATGAGCTTGTCAAACAGGATGCACTGTTACAGATTATGCAGCAGTATATGAAATTAGCCCCCACCTTCACAAACTACAACAATAATTCTTACTTTCACATTAATGCATTTGCAATAATAATCCATTATTGGATAATATGTAATATCATAACACAGCATGTGGTCACAGCATTACAGAATAATACTCATACTACTTAATAGGTAGTATTTTTACAGTGTGTCAATAATCTCAAAATACTCCATTACAAGTAAATGTCCTTCAAAAGTATTATCATCAAGATACACTTTAAGTATTAAAGGTAAAGTATTGCTGTCGGTGGTGATTTTATGTATAGTTTTACTGGGTTAGTCAAGTGGTTCACTGGGAGAGGAAAGAAGAAACCAGTTGAACGGTTATTTAAATGAAACCAGAGGTTTAAAGGGGGAAATCCCTCTCAACTCACAGACACCTGAAACATGAAGGGGCCCCAACTTGACACTGTTTTTTTGAAAGAGGTCACAAGCCTTCTCTTAAAAATTCTTCTGTTTATGTTTATGACTTGACTATTACGATGTAGCTATCTGTCCATGCAACTGCAATGATGATGATGATTTCTAGGTGTAAATGTCTGTTTGCCATGCCACTAAAGCCTCTTTTGAATTTATTTATTTATTTTTATGAAAATATCTTAATCTGAATAAAGAAACAAAAAATAAACTTGTAAAAGATAAATTGCAGAGGAGTATAATATATCAGTAGGAGATGTAGAATATAAATAAGAAAATGTAAATACTCAAAACTCAAAATTGTGCTTCAGTGCAGTACTTGTATAAATGTTTCCACCCCTGGGTACTGCTATTTTTTAAATGTATGTGAATAATCTGAATTCCTCTACCCTTAATTATCTGTTTTTCTTTGATTAATGCAGTGTAAATGCAGAACAAATATCCAAGAATAACGTGATCTTTTTATTTCTTGTTCTTGCTGCCAACCTCCGGCTTTTCACTTGTTAGTCAAATAAAGCATTAGGAGAAAGAGAGAGAGAGAGAACCAGGGAGAAATCATTAGAAAGGAATCCCAGATATATAGCTGGCTTTTGTCATCTGCCCTCCTCTGTCTCTTTTCCTGAGGTTTCTAACATTTTTTCCCTGTTAAACTTAATTTTGGGGCAGTGTCGTGTGCTGTACAGATTGTAAAGAAGCCCCTGGAGTGAAATTTGTGATATTGGGCTATATAAATAAAACTGACTTGACTTGACTATTAAGATGCAGGTATGTCAATTTCATCTGTTCAGCTATGATGATAATGTTAATGATGCCCTTGTTATTACTGGAGGTTACACTGTTTTATCTGAAATCTCTGAATGGCTTGTAAAAAGATAAATGCACCGGAGTAAAAAGTACAATAGGCTTATATCAGTGGGAGATGTAATGGAGTATAAGTAGGAAATTGTAAATACTAGTACTTGAGTGAATGTTTCCACGTTTGGGTACTGCAATTTTTACTTAATAATCTGAATTCCTCCACCACTAATACTAATCTGTTTGTTTTGCTTTGTAGCCTAAATGCAGAACGAATATCCAAGAACAACATGTGATGTTTTTATTTCATGCTCCTCGCTGTCAAACACAGGCTATTCAATTGTTTTGTCAAATATAAAGCATTAGGAGAAAGAGAGAGAGAACCAGGGAGAAATCATTAGAGAGGAATCCCAGGCATATGGCTGGCTTTTGTCGGCTCCCCTCCCCCTCCCTTCCTTCCCTCCTGCCGTCCGCTCCGCAGCAGCAGGACAGAGGTAGTTCAGTTTTTGAAGCCGTGGCATGAATGATCTCATCTGAACCTGATCTCCGCTTTCCCTGCCGTCGATCCTATGACCGAGACGGGAATAAAATAACACAAACACGAGGTGAGTCCGGCTACCCGCAGATAGTCGCTTTAACCAGGCACCCGGGTCGCCGTTTGTTGTTTTTTGGAACTTAACAGCCAAGCGGCGGCGAAAAAACTCTTGTTTTTTGGGGCTAGAAAGGAGGAAGGACCGGGGAGGACGTGTGGGTGGGCGCTTTTGGCTAATTAGCTTGCTAGCATTATATTTTTATGTGTGTGTGTGTTGATGAGTTAAGAGGAAATAACCAAAAATGAAACTGAGAGAAATGCCAAGCGTTTGTTTGTTCGTTTGTTTGTTTAAATATCACGGAGTTTATTTCCGTTTCACTGAACACCTTTAGCTCAGTTAGCATTAGCTCGGAGCTCGAAAGCGTAAAGTCAGAGCCGTAGCGTTAGCTTAGCTAGCCGGCTAACTGTTAGCTACTAGCGCAAAATGGCCTCATTGTCGCTCGGTAGCTGTGATGCTGAAAAGACAAAGCATGCGGCAGTCACGGCCAGCAGCTCCGATCCGCTTTCCACAGCGGCCCCTCCGGCTTTATCACGGCGGCTGATAGCGGTTATGTTGTGGTTTTTAATGCGGGAACAGGGGAATGAATGCCGCCGTGTTTATAAGTTTATTTATTAATTTAGCACGGCGCGCTGTGAAAGTACTGGTTTTCAGTGTGCAGTGGGGGATGGGTCCATGCTAGGAGCCATTGACGTAAAGCGAGCCTGCATTTTGTTTGGCTCCTAGCATAATACAAACACAAGAGCTCAGTTTAGTAGTATTGTTTCACCCAACACTGTATTTAGCGGAGCAGTCTGGCACACAAACACAAGAATCAGATATCAACATCACGCGGGTTTTTTTATACCACAAAAATTATTGGCGTCATTTCAACGAGGGGATTTTTTGCTCTACATTACTCATTTCCTGATAGCTGCTATACATGTTTTTGAACATCACATGTCTCAGCATTTTCTTGTTAAATCTTGTGTGACAGAACTAACATAAGGACTAAAGAACATAACAAGAATGTGTCTAGGTGCAAATGAAAGGGATGTTTGTCATTTTTATTGTATTGGAAATGATCTACATGTCAGTCACTACAATTAAGCATCTGTAGCAGACAAAAAATATGTCTTAATGTGTATATATATATCTATAAGTGCATGCTAGCAGCATTATTAATGCTGGTTGCATAGACTAGCACAATAACCATGCAAAATTTAAGTTTAAATGATTAAAAAATAAATTGAAACTGTCAGAATTTTTTGGAGGTAATTGTGTCTATCAGTTTGGGGAACTTTCTCTGAATTTCTTTATTTATTCTAGTGCTATTAGAATCTGAGATTCTGGTAATTAATATATCCTTAATCATCGTTTCCTTTTATAGCCTGTAGGTCTGATGTTTTTGTATCAGTTGTGCAATGTATGTTTGTTTGCTACGGGTGCAAGATCAGAAAGATCGAGAGATAGGTTCTATTTTTACAATAAAGAAAATACATAGAACAAAATATTGGCTATTAATCTGTAGATTTATTATACAATTAATTTCCAAGTAGAATCCTTGAGATTTGACCTCAAAATGCTAAACTATAGGGTGTTCAAAAACCAGATTTATCAATATATCTGTCATTACCAAAACTGTCTTAATTCTCTTTGCAGTGTGCTCTCTCTCAGGTTGTAACTCTTCCTGCTTGTAAATCATTTTCTGTGACCCTTTTTTTTTTTAATACACATTGTTGTTTTCCTTTAGGGAGCTAGTCCTCTTTCGTGTCTCTTGTTTAACAGGGGCCAGCCACAAATGCACTAGACAAGAAGACAACATATGTCCATAATTGTTTTTCTAAATCTTTGTATTTTAGATCTTCATTTACCTTCTTAAATGACATTTTCTTCCTATTCTGTCCACTGTCAGGAAATGTAATTCTGTATGCAAGCGAGGATTGAAAGATCTTGACGTTAGATTCACTTCTCTCTTTTTTTTTTGTCGGTATGGGTTATAACTTTTTAAGAATATGGTGCTGATTCCAGATATTTCCTCAGATCAATCAGGTGTAGAAACAATTTAATCTCCTTTTCTCATTTTATGTCAGGTTTTCATGTGTGTAAAGAAGCACAGTACCTCCCTCTGTTGAAGGTTGAAGGAAAGGAGCGTTTGCAATCAATTTCTAATTAGAAATCACCCAATTTTTTGGATTACATGTTTGATTACATGTTTGATTATATGTTGATTAAATGTAAAATGTTAAATTATGTTTTTTCGTCCCAGTTTTTGGCTGTAAAATCTTGCACACCACCCCTGAGTGTTACACTGTGTTAACTGTAAGATGGTATGTAATTAGCACAGATCCTAGGACCTTAGTTTGCCCTGGTATCCTAAGATGAAATTTTCAAGAAAAACAAATTCTGCTTCGTTGGTGCGGAGATAAATTGTGACAATAACAGCAGTGTGTAGTGCATTTAGTTTCATCTTGGTTTCCACTGAAAAGTGCGCAGTTTTTTGTAAAATTGTTAACAACTCTTTGCTTTTCTATTCTGTAAACCATAATCCTATGCTTTTACAGTCCAGCATGTATCAATACTATTTTCTTTGTACCCCTGGTTTTTACTTTTTGTGATTATTTTGTAAAAAAAAAAAGTATCACAAATAGAAATTTGAAGCAAGTGGATTCACCCAAATGCCCTGCCCACAGGTTTTTACACAGAGGAGACAAAGCTGGACACGGCACACTATTTTTCTGTCTGATTAAAAATGAAATGCCACAGGCTGCTGTTCAGAGCTCAGTCCTCCTTATATACTTGCATCCCGTTTATTTTGGGGAGTCAGAGGGTCTTTAATGTTGGCAGGAGTGTTTTTTGTTCCTGTAAGACATCTGTGTGTTCCAAACGGTGTGTAATAAGGAAGTTGACTCTACTTTTCTTCCCCTCCCTCAGTGAAGAGAAAGTGAAAATCTTGTTCTACTAGTTTGAAGAGTATCGTGTGTGTAGACCTGGAAACCTGATATCCCATGTAAATATTAGTGGTTCATGGTGGTATATTGTATTGTGAATATTGTAAATGCTATTATTTTCCATATTCCTATAACTTTTACCCCTTAAAAGCACCTTATTGATTGGGATATTTTCTTGATCACAGGTGGCAGTGGGAAAGAATCTAAGTGCACCGATCATGTAACTTGAGTGCTGTTTTTGTTTTCTGACAAAGGTCTCTATAGTCTGTGCTTACTTTGATGCATCGTCGGCATTTAGTTGGTAACCATGCTATTTTCGGTGGCTCAGTGGTCTGTTAAAAGTGTGGTTGTTCCGCCCAGCAGGAGTCTTGCTTCAGACTGGCCTAAAATGGGCAGAAATGGTGCTGAACAAAAGCTGCTTGTCGCTCGTACAAAAGTACTTGAAGCGTTGCAGCCGGGACCAAGCTGCATTGCTATTGCCTGTGCCTCTCAACAGGAAAGGTATAGCAAACTTTAAGAAAAAGACTACAACAAACAATGTACTGTTTACTGTAGTTCATAAAGAGTTTAAACCTGTAGAGTTTATTGATAAAGTCACAGCTGCTGTTGAGCAGATCATAGCCCTAGCTCCCTCATGTCCATACACAAATACTACACCACATAGCTTTATTACATCACACATTTACATAATTAATTACATGGCACTTATTCTTTCAACTATGTTCTTAGCTAGTGAAATTCAGTAGACATTTTGTGTCAGTTTGATAAATTAGTTCAGAAAAGTGTTGGTGTTGATGTCTGACTGTGATTCTCTCTCCTTGCCATCGCCACAGAGAAACAACATGTTCCCGAAGGGCACCAAGCGTAAGTTCTCAGACTCCGGGGAGGAGCCAGTCCCCAGTAGTGACCAGGGCCCAGCAGCTTCATCTGCGATGGCTCGGACGCTGACGTCCTCTTATAGCCTCCAGCGGCAGTCGCTGCTTGACATGTCGCTGATCAAGCTGCAGCTCTGCCACATGCTGGTGGAGCCAAACCTGTGTCGTTCGGTGCTTATTGCTAACACGGTACGGCAGATCCAGGAGGAGATGACCCAGGACGGCACCTGGCAGATAATGACCCAGGCCCTGGCAGCTGCCCAGTGTCCCGCCGACCGCCTGGTAGCCACTGAGGTGCTATGCCGGCAGACGGACCCAGCAGCTCAGGCTGGGCAGAGCCCAAAACCCTTCTCAGTGGTTGATCTGGAAGAAGGCTACCACGCTGAGGAGGTGGTGATGGAGGGGGACGTGGAGACAGAGGTCACAATGTCCACTTTGTCGCCTGTCTCTCCACAGCTGTCCTCTGCTTCCTACCTGGCAGGTCCCTTTGGCATGGGACCCTGCTGGGAGGAGGAAGAGGAAGACGGTGAGTGCGAGGAGGATGAAGAGGAGGACAGCGAGGAGTGTGTGTCGGAGGGAGAGGAGGCAGACCGGGACCACCTGAGTGCAGACTCCAGGACAGGGGAGCAGGTTTTTGGGACATTTGAGATCAAGCACCCGGCGCCGCCCCCTGACCCTGCACTCGAGGAACTGTTTTCAGATGTGGACCCGTCATACTATGACCTCGATACAGTGCTGACAGGCATGCAGAGCGCCCCAAAGATGGGGCCTTACGATCTGCTGGAGAGCCTTTCTTCTCACGGGCCGACGGCCCTGAGCTCCAGCTCAAGTTGCAGGTCAGACCTGAACGAACTGGACCACATCATGGAGATCATAGTGGGATCCTGAAACTCAGAACATTCCTCTGGCCTGTACTGATCCCTCAGACTCTTTACAGACTATGCACAGTTCACATGTGCATGTTCTGTATGTGGTATTGTTGTTACACATGGACATTATTGGCGGTTTTGGTACAAGGTGGGAAATTAACAGCAAGCCAAATAGATTTTGGGTATTGGCTGTTAGAGTTATAGTTAGTCTGCTCTAACGCCACTTAGGGACGTCGGCAGCTGCTGTTGGGACATTCATCTTTTATATAAAAAATGTAATTGGCAGTTAAAGTAGTAAAGGGTTAAATTGATGATTTTTTTTTTGGGATTCTCATGCCACCCTGGCCTGTGGACAAAGCAGTTAGTGTCCTACTTTGTTGATGAAATCCAAAACTTGACAATATCTTGTGAGAGGGCAAAGATAATTACCTATACCATGATGCATTCTTATTTACGTACTTTTCATGTTTACGTCTGTCATACATTCTGTCATACTAGCTCCTTCTGGTCGTATTCTTCTCTGCCATTTTGTCCATTTCTATTTATTGTTACATGGACTGAGGAACAATTCACCACACTACATGCATCAGAAACCAGAACAAATTGTAAATCCAAATCTATGAATCAATGCATATTTTCCTAAAGATCTGAGCAATTATGAATGGAATATATGTATATGTACGTATGTGTATATAGAAATATATTTTTTGCATTATACAGCTGGGGGATTTTGCAAGTATCATTTGATATTATTATTATTTTTCCCTCCCAAGCGGTTTTTAAGATTTTAATGTAGCCAGACTCGAGACAGTGTCTTCCCATGGTTTGGTATAACAAGTCGACTGTAACAGGTGTCAGGACCGCCATTGTTACACTGTATAGGCGCTGTTCTTTCATTTCTCAAAGCTTTATGCAGGGCAGGGAAATTACTGCCAGCCACAAACCACACGCTGGTTTAGATTTGACTGTTTCTGGTAAGTTTACTGTATCCAGTGGACAAATTTAAGTAAGTCCCCTGTCCTGCTTCTCACACAGATCTAAAAACAATAACTGCTTTACCTAAAGCATTTGGAGAAACCACGGGGTGATAACTGCATCAAGAAGCCATATTTCTTTCTCTCATTTGTTTGTACAGCAAATGGGGAATTCTGTGTGTTAACCCAATCTAATTTATTGTTTTATTTATTGTATTTATTATATCTAGGTACAGACATGCCACATTGACTTATCAAATCAACCATGAGGCCCGATAAAATTTATCCAAATTTTGCCCTCCCGTTTTTAAATGCAGTACCTATTTATTCCTCACATTTTATTATTAGTAATAATAATAATAACCGGTTTACTATTCAAATCACTATGCAGCTCTGTCATAAGTGTTTCAAAATGATTGTATATGACTCAAATGTCCTTTAATTCCTTTTATGCAAACAGTTGCCTTTCTCCTAAAGATGTGGAAAATCAAATGCATTTTTCAAAATTTTATCATCGTGATGAAGAGATTTAACTCAGGCAAACAAAATGTATTGACAAAAATACAGTATTACGACACGCTTAATACCTTACCACAACACTCCTGAAGGATGTCATTCTGGTCTGAATGGGAGCTAGAACTTCAAAGACTAATTACCGTTGTAAAATGTATGCATTTTTTTATATTAAGGAAAAAACATTGTAGCATCTTTGTAAATATTTTTATAATAAAAGGTGCAACTATTGATTGTGTGGTGTGGGTTGGATCAGTTATTTTTGTTATAGTATACTTTTCTACAGAGGCTTCTTTACTTTTTTAGACCTTTGGCTGAAGGAATAAGGCTGGTAAAATACATATATATATATATTCTTATGTTCAATAATACCAATGAGAAGACCAAAACCAACTTTGTTACATTCTTCATACTGAAGACAAATCTTTTAAAACGGGTCACAAATATTTAATAAGCTGAACCTGAAACAGCTGGGCGCTGTAGTTTTAATCAAATGTTAGTCAAACGGGAGTAAATAGTGCATTTGCTTGGGACTCTTTTCAGCCACAGAAAGTATTTCCAGTTTAGAGTCACAAAGATATGCATGTAAATATACAAATACACTACAGTGCCCATGTGTACCTGTGATTTGATGTGTTTTTAAATAGTCTTCGGACAACAATGGAAATCTCTGGCACAGAGAATTAAGCTTTGGATACACAACACGTTTTTGTAGGATCACGATGTTAAGTTTAGTTAGGGCCCGAGCATGAAGCATGCAAAGTAAACTCAGTTTTAGGGGCCTAAACATGCTCAAAAACTCATCAAACTTTGCACATAATTGAGGCGCGGCGGGAAAATTTTGTATTTTATGGGTCTTGCACATGGGTGTGACAAAATGGCTCGGTAGCGCCCCCAGGAAGGCGGACATTTTGTATGATTTACACATACCATACTTTAATGAACTCCTAGGGATTTAGTCCGATCAACTTCAGAATTGTGCTGTGCATTCTAAAGGCATTGACGATGAAAAGTTGTGAGTTTTTGTTGATGGGCTTGTCTGTGGCGTGGCGTCAAACGTCAACGGTTCGTCATAAAACAGGAAGTTATGTGACTTAAGTGTACATGCTCCGATCTGCAACAAACTTTACATGGTCGATAACAGTCCTGTCCTGAACACATCTACATTAAAATATTCCCTCAATGTCATTGTGCCACCCACTGGTAAAAGGAAGTAAGCTGTTTCTGACAAAACGTGGCCGCCTCACACCTCGACGCGCTACCCATGCGAGGGCCCGCCCAACGCTGCTTGCAGCTTTAATCTTTTCATTGTATTTGAAGACTTTAAAAATATATCAGACTTAAATGTGTTCTTTCTATATTGTAGTTTCTAGTGGAGACTGCTCGGATGCAAGCATTTGTAAATGGGCACTTGTGTGGCTGGAAATTGTACAAAACATCACCTACTCCAACTTTTAAGTGTCTGTTCTACACCAAGACACTAAACTGTTCAATCATTCCTGCATCAGGGAACTATCGGTGTGTAGAGTGGAAATAATTTAAAACTAAATCATTATTCAGATCAGAAAATCCCTCAATGTCATCAAATTATAAGTAATGAAATTAATGCTGCAACTGAGCTCAAATCCTGCAGAATCTGTCCTCAGAATGAATTTCCACTCGGGAGCTGCCAAGATCAGCAACGTGTTACAATAGATTCAACAGAGCAGGACTATTGTCTGTTTGCATACAGCTGACCTGTTCACAGTGGAATTAGGGATTTTCTATTTCAATGAATGCTATTTTTGTCTACTGAAGAGACATACTTTTTTTAAACATGCAGCAGTTAAATAAAAATCTCAAAATATTGATTAAAACTATCAAAAGGTAGACTATGTGTTCATAAAATGACTAAAAGCTTACTCTGCATACTGGCCTGCTGCCTAGTCTGGCCTATAGTTAAAGATTAATGGCCTCTCCGTGACTCAGCAAAAGGCCTGCCTGAGGAAAAACCAAGTCATCAGAGAAAGAGAGTATTGTGTCTTAAAAAGCAGCACAGGAGAAAATGTAAATGCGATGCAGAAAATACATGCAGTTGTTTCAAAGACGCACAAGAAATTAAGTTTACACCATGTGATGTTAATGTTTTTAACTACTGGCGTGTCTGGAAGCAATTACTCTAATCTTCGATATCATATATAACCTACTACACCTATAAAACGTGTTTTCTGCTGTCAGAGGATTGCACCACCTTTAAAAACGTGAGTGGGTTCAGGGTTAATAAGTGCCAACAGGCCACATGTCTCATGCTGCCTTCAGGTGCTTCTCATAAACAGGTTATCTGGAGCCACCACAAACCATTTCTCACAAATTCAAGTACAACATTTTGGTTGGACATAATAACAAAATTTACCCCATAGCTACTTAAATTCTGTGTTTGGGTAATAGAGATTAACTACTTTAAATAAAGTACCATAAAAACAATTTACAACCAAAAATATTTTACAACAAACCCTAATTATCACCTGCATGCATAAAGATAATTATTTACTTACTTGATCTTGTAGTTTTTTGACATTTTGGATCTTTTGACTCACAAGCATATGAGCATTTTGGGATTTGAGGTGGATCATAAGTCATAAAAACACGTCAAAATGTAGGTCAGCAAACAATAAATTCAATAATTTCCTAATGTTAAATATTTACTTTCTGATCAGAAGAAGAAAACCAGGAAAGAAGAAGAAGTGTAGCTGAGACAGCTTCAGGAGGAAGAGTTTCCTTATTTGGTGTTTGCCTTCCACGTCTTTCCAGTCACGTTCTCCCCACTTCCCTCTGAGTCATCTGGCCCTTTAAAATGCTGTGTTCAGGTGCCTGCTGCAACTTTTCGGTACAGATATATTGATACTGATTTCCTTAATACTAAATAATTTTGACATCCATCGTTATTTCAACATATTGTATTTGAATCTGTGATACTCAAACTCACATGACAACTTTTTAATCAAGGTGTGATGAGATTTAAAAAAACAGGTTTATAAGCGGGGAAAATGTAGAATCCCTGCCTTACTGTAACTTTTAAAAAGTTAGAGTTAAGAAAGATAGTTATTAACAAAATGCATCATGATCATTCGCTGCCCCCCTTATTGTCACATATTTTTATATTCCTGGAATATCATAAGCAACAAACCCAGAGTGCTTCTTGTTCAAGAAGTTGAAAAGGACAGTGGTTTGAGTAACTACAGTGTTTTTAAATATGTAATCCTGTCTATCCTGTTTTTGCTCCACTACATTTATTTGACAGATACTATTTACCTAAGATTAACAAATAGAGCAAATAAACTTAGCTCTACCTTGACCAGCTACAACATTTTAATGCTTCTTACATGCTATCACATTATAACAACACTGGCAAGGGCCATTTTACTGCGTCATGAGTACTTTTACTTTTGACATGGTACCTTTTGCCGATAATATTGAACTTTTACTAGTTTAATATTAAAGTTTAGTAAAGATTCTGACTACTTCTTCCAACACTGTCAAACATAGTGGTCCTTGTAGTGATGTAGGCTACAAGTATGAAGGAAGTTGTCAGTTTCAGTTTAAGTGTCTCTTGTATTTAGCACTATGATCAGTATTTTCATACTTTATCACTTGTTTGGCCAAATAGATCTGTCATCAGTGGTGGAATATAACCAATACATATGGTCAACTACTGACCACCACTGTCATTTAATCCAGAGATGGAGGGTTTTTTTGGGGACCTGGATGATTGTGCAGCATTTGAAGCAGGAGGGAACTTCACACAGCTCCAGTGATCTGTTGAAGATCTGTGTGAAGATGGGGGCCAACTCGTCTGCACAGATTTTCAGGCATGATGGAGACACACCGTCTGGGCCAGGAGCCTTCCTGATCTTCTGTCTCTGAAAGAGCTGGCGCACATCCTCTTCACAGATCGTGAGTGCAGGTGAGGGGTCGGTGAGGGGGTTGAGGAAGGTGACTGTTTGAAGATGGTTTTGGAGCGGGGGAGAGGTGTGACTGTGGGCTCTCAAACCTACAATAGAAACCATTCAGCCGAGTTGGGGGATGGTCTCCTGTAGTTAGTGAATGTCTGCAGACTTCTCCACACTTACGCAGGGTCGCTGGTTGTGAACCTGTTTCCTAGCTTTTCAGCATAGCGCCTCTTTAAGTAATTTATAGTTCTGCGTCGAATCGACTGCGTAGGGCTACAGAACGGACCGCAACACAGGTGTTTGTTATTATATTAACGGTTGGTGTAGCGACTTTACAGTGATTCAGCATCACTGTTCTCCTAATCTGGAATTTCTTATCATTAACTGTAAACTGTTTTACTCCCCCCCTGAGTTTGCTTCATTCACTCTGGTCGGTGTTTACATTCCGCCCCAGGCCAACGTTCAGGACTCACTGCGCATGCTGGCCGACCAGATACTGTGTGTGGGAGCAGACAAACCTGGACTCCCGTGTTATTGTTCTCGGTGATTTTAACAGGGGAAATCTCAGCCAAGAACTCCCCAAATACAGACAGGGGAACACTTTGGATCACTGTTAAACCACAGTTAGCAATGCCTATCACGCCGTCACACGCTCTCCACTGGGACACTCTGATCACGTGATGGTCCATCTGATTCTTGCTTACAGGCAAAAACTAAAGCTCTGTAAACCTGTAGTGAGGACATCAAAGACGTGGACTAGTGAAGCTATTGAGGATCTTCAGGCGTGTTTGGACTGCACTGACTGGGACGTTTTCAAGAAGGCTACCAACAATCTGGATGAGGTTAGGCGTCCTACATCAGCTTCTGTGAGTACACATGTATACCAACACACACCAGAGTGAGTTATAACAATGACAAACCCTGGTTTACAGCTAAACTCAGACAGCTAAGGTTGGAAAAGGAGGAGGCGTTTAGAAGTGGTGACAGGGCCGGGTGCAGGGCGTTAAAGTACAGGTTTAGCAAGGAGGTGCGAGATGCTAAACAACTGTACTCAACTGAAACTAAAGAACCAGTTCTCTGCAAACGACACCACTTCTGTCTGGAGGGGGTTCAGACAGATCACAAACTATAAACCCAAAGTACCCCACTCCATAAACGATTCTCGCCTGGCCAATGAGCTGAACCAGTTCTACTGCCGCTTTGAGAGTCAATTGGACACCATCCCCCGTGACTCCTCCGCTCAGCTTCAGCCCACCACTTCTCCCCCCCCTCTAAGAGCTGGGCAGCTCCACCCCCTCCCCTGCTCTCTCCATCAAAGAAAGGGAAGTCAACGGTCTTTTCAGGAGGCAGAAACCCCCGCAAAGTAGCTGGGCCGGACTCTGTCTCCCCATCCACCCTGAAGCACTCAAAAACACTCCAGTCAGTGCAGTCAAAGCAGGCCTGTAAATCCAGCATTGACTCGTTGGTCCATTTTTTCACAATCTTTACTACAGGTTTAGCAGATTTCAGTCGCGGACAGTAAGTTGGGATAAGATGAACCAAACGGTGATCAGAGAGTCCGAAGGCTGCACGGGAGAGATAGGCGTCCTTTAATGTAGTGGAGCAGTGGTCCAGTATGTTAGTGACCGTGGTGAGACACTTAATATGCTGTCTGTACTTTGGAAGTTCATGGCTGAGGTTTGCACAGTTGAAGTCCACCATTACCAGCTACAAAATTAGTGATGCTTACACATTAATGCATTACTAATAACAATCCAGCGATATAATATTTATTCTGAAATGGGCATTGTGCATAATTAGTGATTTTACTTTTTCTACATTAAATATATTTTATATTTTGCTAATGTACTTTTACCTAAGTAATATTTTGAATATAGGACTATTACTTGTAGCAGAGCACTACGGTGGAAGTAAAATATCAGAGTACTTCTTTCAGCACTGCCTGTCATAATAAAAAAAAACAATTTTCCAGACCATATTGACTACTTTCGCCGTTCACGTGCGCTATCGTTCCGGTTTCTGATGTTTACGAGCCGCACTTGAACGCAGCGGCAGCTCGCCGTATGAAACTAAACGGCCGCACATTCGCTGCCCCGTGAGTGGCGGGGGCGGAGGCTTGATCAGCGGGTGAACCCACCAATCACATCCGCCCCTGAGCTCCGGAGCTCCCCTCTGCGGCTCCGCCTCCCTCCCCCGCAGCTGTGGATGGACCCGAACATTCCTCATATTCCTGGGGCTCGACGGCGGAGGAACGCGGCGAGGAAACGAAACGCAACGAGGCGAGGACTCGACGGATTCACACAACCCATGACACTTTCGACGGACACGTTAGGTTTGTGTTTAACCTCTTTTTAAATATTCACTTAAAATGTCCTCAAGTTTTCTCTTTTAACTTGGTTTAAACGGACCTATTAGTGTTTCCCATAGACTGTGTGTTTCCCCCCACTGAAGTCCGGGGACAGTTAAAGGGTCGCGGGTGTACGTGTGGAAGGGGGTGGGGGTGGAAAATAAGTAGGATAGAGTGAAATTATTCCCTTATTGTACTACTTTAAAATGGAGGAAATTGTAGGGATAAGTTCTATAATCATACAGTTTACTTTCTACGGTTGTTCATCTCTCTATTGAATCAGACCAAACAGCTGATAATCGCTTCAGGTGGGGGTCGAAATCAAATCAATCGGGGCTTCGTGCGGACCAATTTGTTATTTGGGAAACATTTGACCTGTAGCTAACTAAGCAATGTGTGTATGGGTGAGTAAAGTATCTCACCCTGCAGGGGTGTCTAACAGTGAGTCATACAGTAGTAACGTTCATCCTGTAAACTTGTACAGTTTCTGATGTTAAGAAAATCTATTTTGGAGAGCTGATCAATTTAAAGTGAATGGGGGGGGGATCAGCCATGTTTGCTGGGTTGGTGCTGTTACATAAACTGGATTCAAGGTTTATTATGTGATGGTCTAAGCAAGTATTCAGATATTTAAATTAAAAGGAGCAAATACTACAGCGCAAAGATACTCTATTACAAGGAAAAGTCCTGTATTTAAAACTGTAAGTAAAAGTACACAAGTATCCGCATCAAAATGTAGTACATGTTACAGCTGGTAAAGGTGGGGCTAATTTCAACTGCTTTACATACTGCTAACTAGCTTACAGTAACCTTTACATGTATTTGTTGATTATAGTTTGTATTAATACATGAAATCTGCAAAGTAAATAGTTGCTCTCAAATAAATATAGTTGCTGTAACAAGTATATATGATGTTTAGTAGATAGAGGTATAAAGTAGCATAAAATGACAATACTAAGTACCTCAGAATTGTACAGTACTTGCACTACTCGGTCTCAGATGGAGTCAAAGTTGGTTTTCCTATTTGCGGCGTCACTTAGAGGTGAAACGATTAGTCAATCAATTGAGCTACAGAAGATTCATCGGCAACAATCATTTTATAAGCAGAAATTGGTAAAATTTAATCTAATCTATTTTCTCTCAACTCTAGTCTACCAAGAGTCCATGTTATAATTGCAATAAATAATACTAAATAGCACACACATTGACACACGATAGTGAAAATAATAGTTCCCTGTTGTCTCCTGTTTGATTTAGTGGCTTTTTGACTAAAGATTTGCAGTTTCTCTACTATTGAAGTTGAAGCAGGCCAGTCTGTCTGAAAAAATTGACTATAGATACTATAGTAGATACTAATCTTGACAATTTTCCAATCTGAAAACCCACTAAATACATGTGGTCTTTTGGTATAAAAATGTAAAGAGATTAATATTGAACAGAAACACGAATATCTCTTAAAAATGTATATTGGTCAAATGCATGGTGCATCAAGTATAACTGGTAATCTTTTAATCTAGGTCGATGTTGGGTCGCGGCGTGAAGCGGAAGTGGAGCTGCTTGGAGGAGGTGGAGGCCGAGATCCTCCCTGTTGCAGTAGAGAAGGAGAAGAATGGAGATGAAGAAAGGGAGGATGAGGACGGGTTGCTTGTGGGTCCGCCCAAAGCCGACATGAGCCACCTGCAGCAGCGTCAGCTGGTGCTCGGCCTCTGCTTGGAGAAGCTCCAGAGCTACCAGGCTGGGATGGAGCTCAGCCTGCGTCGCTCCGTGCTGCTCATCAACACGCTCAAGCAGATCCAGGAGGACATGCAGAGCGACGGGGCGGGAACCTGCACCTCGGAGACGCTCATCGACGGCGTCCATGCCGACTCCTGCCTTCTCAGGGATGACTTCAGGGAGGACATGCCGGTTACGTGCCCTGGGTGTGCAGAGGGGGATGGGGACAACCTATCTCTGTCTCTGCCGCTGTCCCCAGAATTCCCCTCTCAGGAGGCAAACAGCTCGCCAGACATGCAGAAATCTCTGCCCGCTGCGCAGATCAATGCTTATAGTGATGCAGTAAACGCCATGGGCTACCTCAGCGACCTCGCCCTGGACGACATCTTTGAGGACATTGACACATCAATGTATGAGACTTCAGATCTGCCTTCTGTCTGGTCGGCGGGCTCCATGTGGCCCATCAGTGTGTCGCTTTGGGCGGATGAGGACGTGAAAATGCGCTCTCCCAGCCACTCCTCGGCTGGGAGTCTCCAGTCATGTCTGATGGACATGAATGAGCTGGACCACATCATGGAGATCCTGGTTAAGTCCTGATCGCCAAGACAGACTACTGAACATTTACTGCGCTTGGTTATCAAGCAGTCTGACAGTGGAGACGGGGAACAAGGACTGGTTTGAGGGTTGCTGGACTCTAACGTGACCTTGGATTTTTAAGGCTCCATCTGATATTATGATATGTGTTTTAAGCTGCAGCTAGTTTCAGATCCAGTTTGAAATCCACATTTAAACACTTTTATACTGTTTTTGGTTTTTATAACTCGTAACACACTTTATCTGTGTGTCTGAAATCTCAGTGGCAATAATGGTAGTTAAGAAGAGAAATGCATTTTTAACAGAGAGACCAATTTCTGCACCCACAGTAGCAGGAAACCGATTAGTTAGCTCTGCAGTTTCAGGGCATGTTGTGTTTTGAGCAGTGGGTGAATAAATAGTAGATGAGGCATTTCTAGACAAAGTTGGTGCACTGAAAGTGCAGTGCAACACTTGTAAGGGAAATGTTGTAACCGTCAGGATTAGACGGCACAAATTAAGTGGCTACGGTGGATTTCGGTAAAACTTTAAATGCAGATGGAACCTTACAATTCCAAGCTCACTGTGTTTATGCCACTTTTCTCTCCTGATTTATCAGGTTTTAGTAAATGCAGCAGCACCTTTTGAGTGAATCCACCATTCGGGAAGAAGCAACCGGAGCTGCCATGGTTTGTGCGTCACTCAGACCTGGTTTGATTATTAATTGAAATCCGTTCAATTACTTAAGAGGTTGTGCTTCAGCCAGCCAGGAGGGGGGGGCAAAGGCCTGGGATTCCTTTCCATATGATTCGTTTTTATTGCTCCATGTAGAATCTTTAAATTAGAAAGTCTTTGTGTCTGTGGTCAGGCAGCAGTCAGAGGGTTTATTTGGCTCGTGAAAAGAAGAATGTAGCCACCGAATTTGGGGTTACCAGCCAAAGAAGTATGCTTCCAATCCCTGGAGATGATTCACGTATCGCAAGAAGCGGGCAAAATGTCAAAATGACATCTTGTTGCTCCAATAGAGATAGGTGTAAAATGTTTTACTTGTTGGAACGCCTTTATCTAATATTATTCTTATTTATGAATGAAAAATCAACCGTAAACTGCAGCAGATGTTATTTGTTCTTTGTTTTTTAGAGTCTATTGTTTTGGCGTGATTGTAACTTTATACTTCAGATTCTTTATAACTTTGGGCTGTCAGTGCATTGGCTGCCTCTTGCACCATTTGCGACATCAAATGGGTCAAACTCTCAGAGGCCGCATAAGAAGTACTCACCCTTTCACAGTAAGGTTGAAGTGAACAGTTTATCCTTCTCGGCAGCTTGTAAAATACGGTAAATGCAACATGTCATAACGCAGCATAAAACATGTATTCCCAGTCTGGTTCTGACTGAGGAGCTGATCGCCTCAAGTCAATAATCAGGACAAGTCTGCCATGTCTCAGAATTGTAAATGACAACAGAAGCATATGTATTTTTATGGCCACGATGATATGAATTTTTATTGCAATGTTGGGAGTTTAAAAGAACAGTTTTATATGTGTTCCTATCTGAAACTCCAATCTCCTGTCCAGTAGAAGAGATCCAGTGAGCGGAGGGCTGCGATTAAGCAGATGCTCGACCTTCACTATCTGTGGTTTACTCCTGTTCTACCTCCTGATGTCTGTCTGTTGTTGGTTTACCTGGACACTCCTGTTTTACACTGAGCCATGGACAGTGTTTCTTATGTCATTGTTTTTAACTGGGCTGAAAATTCAGTGCTTTCCTGTCAGACCAAAGCAAATCCGTCCTCATCTCCATCTCTTGTCTCATGTCGACAACGTGCCTTACTACTGAACCTAATTTTTATTCGTGCTGAGGTTTATGTGGTTGCCTGAGCTCGAGCGTCATTGATTGGAAAGAAAAGAACTGTGGCGACGTGTTATGTAAAACACTGAGAGCCAGAACCGCCATCGTTTGTTCCTCCTCCTTGGCCTTTTTTTCCCCCCCTGTGCTCAGTGAACACTAGTGGCATATGAGCTTAATGCATCCTGACAAGCTGACAGTGAACTATCTGAGGGAGGAGGCGGCGACGAGGGCCAGGAGGGAAAAATAAGAGGAGGACATGGAGGAGGAGGGGTGGGAGGAAGCAGCTTGCGTCACTTGTTCAGTAGGAGGGGTTTAAAGCTTGTTTTGCCCAGACTCAGACCACCGACCAATCACATGAGATGTGCAAGGAGCACTCTGCTGCTCCAACAACAACTTGTTTTTGCTCCTAAAGGCTCTGCACACAAATACAGTGTGAATCTGTTGGATATCAGCCTGTGAAGTAAACCATTTTTCTGTTTATTTTTTTAAATTTTATTTACGTACTCTATCGGGACAAGACTGAATACAAAAAGCAGAAAGCTGCGGTGTTATTTATAATTGTATAAAAGTGTGAGTACAGTCTGTGAAGCACAAACTGTACGTTGTTAATGCTGATTACATGATATAAATGTAACTGAAGGATGGATTTGCCAGGTAATAAGATGATAATTGAAAATGTATTTTTTGTGGAATATTTTATAGATTTTATTCAATATTACAGTAAAAAAATACCTGAACTGTGGTTTGTGTGAGTCTTAATTCCTTTGATAAACTGTAAAGCAGGCCTCTGTGTTTTGTGGGTCAAAGACAGAAACGTTAGATCCAGATTACAAAAAACTGATCATGAAACAAATTATTACACACATTACTCATCTCTGCCAACCTTAAAAAAAAAAAGTGCCTTCCTGCACACCAATCATGCATTCACAAGGAGGCATTAGTCAATATAGGACTGACTGCATGTGGTTTATCTTGAGAATTTGGTTTTCCCTGAGTCATGCCTCCCAGGGAAACCTGTCAGATTTCACCGTTATCCTGACTTCTTTACTGTGGTTGGTTAACCCAAATTTGTGAACATCTCTAACCTGCAGCATTTAAATTGGTAGGCTTATTGCAGGCAGTGCACAGCCTGTGAAGCAGCCTGTGAAGCTTAACACAGGGCAAAATCTCCCTTAAATGTTTTTCCACACGTGGCTGAAGAGTCAAACGGAAGCCAAGACTTCCCTCTGGTGGCCGTTTGACTGAAATGATGTGTGCTGTTGGTAGAAGCATGACTATGCAAATATGAAAATATTAAGTGCTGTTAGTTAATGCTGTAGTCTGGTGTTTTTGCAGCTTCATCGTAAATCTGATCCTTACAGTGGTGTTCCTAGGAATGTCACTTAGTTCAGTGGAAACTGTACCAGTCATGTAAAATATTAAGTAAGAAGCCTAATCTCATGTTTCATCCTCATCTCTGCGACAGAAACATCTGCAGTACTGCGGGTCAATAGTCAAATCATTCACTCACACAATCATAGCAACACCACCATGAAAAAAATACGATAAATTATCGAATGTATTTGAGTATTTAAATGAGTAATTATTAAATTATTGATGTGCTAACATGTAAGCAGTATTTAGGAGGTGCATTATGTACTGAACTCTTTAATTTATTCAATTTACAAGCTGACAAATCTAAATAAATAATCTTGAGAGTAAGCAGTAACTTGTGCTGTCAGATAACTTCAGTGCAGTAAAAAGAGATAAAAGCTCTTACTAAATAATCAAATAAAATTCCATTTCCTCAAATGTGTACTTTATACAACTGTAATAATTATCCTTAGTTACCTCCTTCCTCTGTCAATTCTACTTAAACAAGAAAAACAGAAAGCTCCCCCTATGGCTGCCTTGGATGAAATCTACTTAAACGTGGCTCCATGGAGCCTAAATTTTGGCTTTTTAAGTGGTTTGTTTGTCAATTTTTTTATTTATTTGCATTTTTTTTAGGATTACGGTGTTCTGGGTATTTAGCTGGAACTTATTTGCTGCCCCTGTGCCTGGTTGGGTTTTTATCATAAAATAGAACAGCTAAAGAAACAAACAGCTACAACATGACATGCAGCATACTTTTCTTTGTTAAACTGCTGTGTATTTTTTGTTTTGTTTTACTGCACTTCATCCTTCTTTTAGTACATGACTGACTCGGATTTCTCTCCAGAGAATAAGACAGAAGTAGAGTTACAGTAGATGTTGTTGCTGAGAGGAATTCAGGAAGTGGTCTCACATGAGGAGGAGCAACACGTGAGTTACTGCACACAACCACTGCTAATGCTAATCATTAAACACGTGAAAAAAGAGCGTGTCTGACTGTCAAGCCACACCCTAACTCAAACATGCATTAAGGGTTATCTATCTATCTATCTATCTATCTAATGACACTGCAGACTGGTCACAGTGAAGGTGTGGCATAGCTGTATAAATGTCTAGATGTCTAGAAGTGCTGCGGTGTGTGAGTCTGGGTTTAATGTTTCTCTGCAGACAGAAATCAGTCTGCCGCGGTGGAGGAAAGCCGGGCTTTGGCTCCGTCTTCCAGGCTGACTCAGCACACACTCACAGAACAAACAACCTCTGCTGCTGCAAAACAAAGGGATGGACCGACTGGAAAAATGCATCCAGCAGCACTCGGCATGTTTTAGCAGTGTAAATGTGGGGCTCTTTAGATTTTAACAACCAAAATCAGCAGTAATGTTGGGCAGGATCACTTCTCTGCTCACAGGAAGAATCCAAACTTAAAGGATTGCTACACATTTTTTCTGCCTTAAAACAATTGTCAGGTGACTATATGAACATGAACACAGGTTTAGCTTGCAGTAATCATTCCTCTGGTTCAAACTGTTTTTATTTTAAGGACACTAAGACCCAGGGACAGTCAGGGACTCTCCAAAACAGTAGGTCAGACTCTGTCTCTCCTCTCCGTTTGTTTGATCGACTGACTGATGCAGCTGTCTTGATAAGGATGCACTCTGGATGCACTCTGTGATCCATTTTTTAGGTAACCCAAGGTCGAGATAATCTTTATTTTGTTTCATTACAGACAGACTGACTGGCTCTGTGTGTAAATGTTGCCAGTGGTTTCAAGGACACACGACATGACTTATTGGCCTAAATATCAAATAGAGTGGGCTGAACCATAACCTTATTTGGACACTTAGTGAATCTCTGTAGGTGTAGGACAGATAAATACCCCCAGACAGGAAGTATCCTTCAGACTGGTTTTGGTACTACTTTGTGTCTGTACTCTGTTCTCCCAGGGCCGAGGCTCAATAAACTGTTGTATAAGTTGAGTCTTCTTGACATACTTCTAACGTTAAATGATTTTCGGACAAAATCCACAGGCTTTGTTTTGCGCAAAAATGTATTTGAAAGCTTATCTGAAGCTAATGCGAGGTTTCAGCAGTCTGAGTTACACAAATCAATTATATATCTTCCAAAGTTACATTTAGTGTCAATTCCCTCTCTGTGTTTCCCTGGACAGTTTCTATGTTGAGCTACAGTGGAAGGACAGCAACAAAAAGGGTGAATTTTGTACTTAAGGGGCTCTAACTTTGGAAGATTTCCACTTTATTTAACTCACACGGCAGAAACCTCATATTAACTTTTTCTTACATTTATTGCACAGAACGAGGATGTGGATTTTGACCCCCCATCACTTATAAAGTCCATCAGGAAAGGATCTCTTAATGGATAGTATACATAGGAGGAACGATTACAGAAAGCAAAAACTGGTTCATTGTTCTTATGGGCACCTGACTGTTGTGAAAAAATGGTAAACCTATCCATTAAGAGTGAAATCCAACAAATTTATGTCCTAATCATTCACTGAGTATAAGTCCAGAGAAAACTACACACAGTAACAGTAATACATCATTTTTGCAAACTCTGGTTAGAAAAAAAAAACACAAACTAAATACACAGACTGGCAGTTTTATAACTTATTAGTCTAGTCTAATGTTGCAACTAACCATTATTTTCATTATTGATTAATCTACCTATTATTTTCTCAATTAATTAATGAATTGTTTGGTCTATAATATTTCAGAAAATACCTTGAAATGTCTAAAATCCCAGGTTAATATTTCCAAACAGCTTGTTTTGTCCAATCAACAATCCAAAACCTTTAAATTATTGATGTGCTATTACATGTACAGAGGTCAAAGACAAACAGCGAATCCTTATAATTAAGAATATGGAAATCTGGATTGTTTGGTATTTATGCTTGAAAGTATCAAAGTAGTTCCCAATTAATTTTCTGTTGATCATTTCAGTTATATTCTATGCTGTAATTTTTATTTTGTACAATGTTGGAGGTAAAAATTTAGGTGATATAGGTTTGGGTTAAAATAAGTACATTATTTTAATGTTATTTAACTTACAACATGTCAACTCAAACTCTGTTTCCTCAGTGAATGTCCTGTGCTTACTTGACACACCCATCCACCCCACCACCTCCCTACACAGACTTTTCATACTACATGATAATAATATTAATACATTTTATTTATAAAGCCCTTTAAAAGGTACTTTACTTGGAAATAAAAGACATTAACAAGATCAGCATAAAAACCACAAGAACAATTAGAGATAATTATACGGCATCACCTGACCTCTTCTGCACTTTATGTTTGCAGCCTAACAAAAAACTTAAATATGGGTCGTAATAATCTGCTGCAAAATCGACCTACACGGCCATTTTTCTGGTGAGGACGAGCTGAAACCAAGAGAACAACCAATCCTCTGTCTCTGCCAATAAATCAGCACTCTGCCGCTCTCTTCCCACGGCCGGATGCACTAAGGCATCCAAAAGATTACACTTCCAGCTGACCTTATTTTATACAATCCATTAGTGAAAAATGTAGGCTTGGATCACAACAGACTAATTGTACATGATTCTGGAGGTCTGGACCCCCCGTAAATTGTGTTCATGCAAGTGAAAATTCAAAATACAAGAATGCGGCAAGTTCTCCTAAATCACTCAGAGGCTTAAGAACAAATCTGTTCATACGAGAGGCTCGCAGTAGCTTGCTCATTTACAATGTGGTTTGAACACCAATACACTGATAAATAGATGGTTTTAAAGGCAACAGATGCAAGGAAATCATGAAACCTAATCAGGGAATCAGTTTGAGAGTGAAACATAGACAAAAAATGACTGAAATCTTGTGACTCTGAGTAGTGTCTCAACTTTGGAGACATGTGGGAATGTGTACATGACCCTGAGGAACAAATTCCTTTTTGTCTGATTATCTGTAAGTGATTTACAAGGTCCTCCAGACACCGTGGAGATTCAAGTACAGGTCAGAGATATGACCTGAACACCCGCCTACATGTAGAATGGATTTGAACGGCATCTTCCTACTGACTCCAATTCATTTTTCACGGGGAAACAAATTAGCTGCTGGTATGTTGTTTTTCTTGACTGACTGGTGTAATAAAAGACAGAGACAGAGCAAGGCGTTCTTAAAAAGGTTGTGACCCTAAACCACGTGTACTCGCTAATTCGAAGGGTTAATAAGGGGAAGTTAGTGACCAGGTCATTTCCAAGTTTATCTCTCACTGGATCTGACTTGGTGTATTTTATTTCTTTTAAATATTTTGGTATTTCACTGTATTTTGACAGTAGAGTGGTAAATTGAGAACATGAAGATGAAAAATACAGAATTATGATGGTAATTCTATTTTCAATATTACCCTGAAAACTCCCCAAATTTTACCTTTCCAATTCTGAGCTGAGCCAAATGTATTAGTACCAGCGGTGTAAAGTACATTTACCCAAGTACTTCAGTCACAAGTAATTTTGAGGTACTTGTACTCTACATTATGTTACAATACATGCTGCTTTATATTCTACTAGGGAAATGTTGTACTTACATCCTTTGCAGATTAGGATTTTACATACAAACTATATGCATAGACTTCATCATTTTGCACAATATGTACTTTTACTTCTGATACTTAAAAAAAAAACATTTATTGGAAGGAGCGATAGGTGTAGAAGTACATACAAATACCACGCGAATGGAAACTATTATATAACTATTATATCAAAATTAAATAATAATAAATAAAATAAAGAGTATTAAAATTATACTTTTAAGACTTTAAGAACAGTTTAGCTGCTAATACTTTTGTACTTTCACTTAATTAACATTTTGAATACTTTTTCCACCACTGGTTAGTCCATATTAAGTATAAATCATATAAACTATAAACTACAACAAACCCTGATTAATAATGATGTTGTTAGGTGAGAAACATGTTTCAGAAACATAGGACTGAACTTTAAACAGATTTACAGCTCTGGTGGATTTAGGGCTGCAACTAAAGATACTTTTTTTCATTCTTGATTAATCTATTAAATATTATTTCAAGCAACCATTTAATCAATGCTTGTTTTGTCCAACCAATAATCCAAACCATGAAGATATTCACTTTATAATGTTATTAACCAGAGAAAAGAAGCAAATATGCAATTTTCTGAAGCTGGAACTACAGAAGGTTAAAATCAATTAAAATTAAAATCAACATAAATGTAGTTACATGGTTTTTACATAATGGCATGGTGGATAATAATATTGATGATGATGATGATGATGTTGTTGTTGATGGCAAATGTTGGCCGGCAAGACACAGTGATAATGTACCATATGGCTGCTCTGTCTGCGTGGTTGAATCTAATTTCATCTGAATAAATAACAAATGTGGGTAATTAAAGGCAGAGTAGAAGCTATTAGTCACCATTAGTGACTAACAGGCATCTGCCACTGGTTGCATGTGGATGAGACAAGCATTTGGCAAATTTTCACTCACCAACATGCATGGAGGGACATATTTTTAAGTTGCAAGCTTATTTACATTGATGACAGACATTAATTAGACATTTAAGTGAAGCACAGTGATTTAATACTATAAAACGTTTTGAATAAATGTAGGAACATCTTCAAAAATATTTGAGCTAGATGCTTTGATTATGATGCTTACGTGCTCACCATCACATGCTAACAGGCTGATGTGAGCTAGCCTGTTAGCAAGCTAATATTTTAAACATTAGCACTAATTAGAACTAATAAGCATTAGAAATTAGCTAATTAGAATAAATTTCAAAGTAAAGCTGATTGGAATATCATTTGTTTTCATCATTAGCAGGTATTTTCTCGTAAACACAAGTACTGTAAAAATAAAATTTTTTGTCCTGATGATGACGCTAGAGGAAGTCAGGGGTTAACTAAAGTCTGGGGAACATGAACGTCTTTTCATTTAAATCCATCCAATAGCTCTTCAGATATTTTCGTTCAGGACTAAAGAGGTGGAGCGACCGAACAACCAAATCACCTTGCCATCCCTAAAGCCACGCTGCCAGCGCTAATGTGTGATAGCAGATGCTAAATATAGGTGATTTCCTTGTGGATCACAGACTTTGCCTCTTAAATGGCTCCAGGTGTTTGAATACATTTCTATGTAAATGTTAATTTACACCAGGGAACATGACTTAATATCAGAGTGTGGTCTAGACCTGCTCTTTTATGAAAAGCGCTATGAGATAACTGTTGTTGTGATTTGGAGCTATATAAATAAAATTGAAATTGAAATTGAACATGCAGTATAAGTCGCAAAGTCAGTCCATCAAAAGGAGAATGACAAACAGTGAGAGAATAAATCTGAAGGTTGTTCCTCTTTTCTAAACAACTGTCTGAAGTTTAAGCTTTTCCCCCAGAGATAAAATGGTAAGTCATTGTCACTGAAGGTTTAGAGAATCACTGTCTGGAACAAATATATAACATGTTTTGTTTACAACAAAATATACTGTGGACCACTGAATTATTTTGGACAGACTTGAGAAATACTTGCTTAACTGGTTGAGATCCTTCCTTTCATAAAGATCTCAATGTGTGTTTTATAACAACACATTTTCCAACTCTTCCCCATTCCACAGGGTTCAGTCCTTGGTCCACTGTTGTTTTTGTTATACTTAGCGCCATTGGGTCACATCATTCGTTCTTTTGGCATGGCTTTTCACTGCTATGCTGATGATTTACAAATGCCAGTTATTGCAGGAAATGTGTGATTCGGTTCAGTTATTGACTTGCTTGGCTGCTGTGAAGAGCTGGTCAGCAAACTTCCTGCTACTCAAACTGAGATGATAGCTATTGGAGCAGCTAGATTCGGTCATTAGTATGACAATTTTACTCTATCCATTGAAGATTCGGTCATTCATTGCAAGGATAGAGTAAAGAATCTTGGGGTCGTTTTTGATCACTTTCGTTTGACTTGCATATTAAAGAGGTGACAAAAGTAGCCTTTTATCTCCTAAGAATAGCAAAGATTAGATCAGTATTGGCACTTAAAAATGCTGTGGCCCTCATTCATGCCTTTGTTACATCTAGGCAGGACTATTGTAATGTAATGTTCTTGGGGCTGCCTAAGAAAAGTTTGCGAGGTCTGCAGATGGTCCAGAATGCTGCAGCACGTATTCTGACGGGATCATCTAAATACATGCATATAACTCCTGTGCTGGCCTCACTGCATTGACTCCCTGTTCAGGTTAGAGCAGAATTTAAGGTTTTGTTGTTAACGTACAAAATAGTGAAAGGCCTTGCACCATTATATCTGTCTGATCTTGTGAATTCTTATGTGCCTACATGGTTACTGCGCTCCCTTCTGACTGGACCAAAGGATAGGAAGAAAACGGTTGGTGAGCGAGCATTTTTGTTTCGTGCTCCAACATTATGGAAGACTCTTCCAGCAGATATTAGACTGGCATGTTCAATTGAGATTTTTAAATCAAAGCTTAAGACCTACTTATTCACTGCTACGTATGAGTACTAAATGTTTGTTAATCTTTGATGTCTTTGTATAAGTGGTATTTACTTTTTAGTGTTTAAATTTTAATTTTATTGTACTGTATTTTAATAGTATTCTTTTTAAATACATTTTATTATATTATTATATTACCATAAAACATTCCACTCATCGCTCACTATCAAGTTTTGAAACAGATAGTTTGTGGGTCTGTACACAAAAAGGTTTGATGCAACACAAGCATCAACTCTTATCCTCTAATGCAAGACAGTCGTAATCTACACAATGACTTACACAGCACAAAAGCAGAGAAGACGGTGGACAAACCTCAACTATAAAAACAGTTCCAGGTATTTTATTTATCCTGGGGAATCCCTTTGAAACGCCCTGTTTCACAATTATACCAGTCTATGCTGCTTTGCTCACAAACAATTAGTGGCTGAAAGAGCCAACAAACTGATGGAATAAATTTTTATTTACCTGTCTGTGCAGGGACCAACAACCATCCAGTCTCAAGTCCACCTCTTTGATATGAAGAATGTTTGAAGCTTAAAACAATGTAAGGGAAAAACAGTCATTTTACATACACTGAACAAAATTATAAACGCAATTTAACTTTGAGCTGAACTCAAAGATCTAAGATTTTCTGTATGTACACAAAAGGCCAATTTCTCTGAAATATTGTTCCCAAATCTGTGTCAGTGAGAACTTCTCCTTTGCCAAGATAATCCATCCACTTCCCAGGTGTGGCCCATCAAGATGCTGATCAGACAGCATGGGTATTGTATAGGTGTGCCTTAGGCTGGCCACAATAAAAGGTCACTCGAAAATGTGCAGTTTCACTGTATGGGGGGGGGGGGTCCCAAAACCAGTCAGTATCTGGTGTGATCACCATTTGCCTCACCCGGTGCAACACATCTCCTTCGCATAGTTGATCAGGTTGTTGATTGTGGCCTGTGGAACGTTGGTCCACTCCTCTTCAATGGCTGTGCGAAGTTGCTGGATATTAGCAATCCAGAGCATCCCAAACATGCTCAATGGGTGACATGTCCGATGAGTATCAGAATCAGAATCAGCTTTATTGTCAGGTATGTGTACACATACGAGGAACAGACAGATTGAGACAATAGTCCAATGAGCAGAGTGCAAATGATGCAGGAGTAAATTATTATTACCATTATTGTTGTTATTATTATGTACATGTTGGAGGTGGATGTGATATACAGGTGCACATACACATACAAGCATACATGTACACAGTGATGGAGCACAGTGCAAAAGATGCTGGAATAAATAAGTATTATGTGCAGGTGCTATGTACTTGAGGTAGGTGGATTTGGTATACAGTATTTACAATATGCAAAATGACAATATGAACAGTATGAACAGCTCTGAAATAGAGTGTGATGAATCAATAATAGGTGGTAGCCAGTAAACAGGTGGCTGATTAGAAACAGATTTACTGGGTTATTGAACAGGAATTGCTGTGAGTCTGAGTCAGCAGTTCATCAGAGCGATGGCATGGCCGTACAGTGCTCTGTAGTGCCTACCAGAGGACAGAAGTTGGAACAGGTTGTGTCCGGGGTGAGATGGATCTGCAGTGATGTTTCCTGCCTGTTTCCTGACTCTGGAAAGTCCTGAATGGAGAAATCTTTTCTGCAGTCCTGGCTGTCTGTTGTAGTCTGCTCCTGTCGTTTTTGGTGGCAGATCCAAACCAGTGATGGAGGTACAGACTGGATGGTGTTTTTAGTCAACAACTGACAATATTTCAATAGTATTCAGTTTTCACATCAAACTGGGGGGATAAGAATTAATAACTGCTCTAATAATAAATTCTAAATTTAAGTAAACTAAAATAAAGTGCTTAATTTCAGAAATAAATAAATAAAAGTGTAGCTTGAAGTGATGAAGTGCAGTCTTAACCAATTTACACTCAACACATCTTAACAAATGAACAGCTATAATGCCCTCTTCTCTTTCATTCCCTCTTATTGAGTTACCACTTTCCTACTTTCTCTTGTTCAGTGAGAAACGTGAACTCTAACTTGTCCTGCCAGCAAGGATTGGAGATATATGAAATATTCTAGTTTTGAACTGCCCGTGGGAGGAATGTACATGTAAAAATCTGTACATTCTTGGTTAAAAGCCATGTGAAATCTCTTTTCTCTTTTGCTTTCTCTCCCTGTGTGTTTCCAAAACATCTCCGGTGTATTGAACTCACGGACTCGCTATGCCTGTCGGAATGCATAGATTTGATTGGCTGAGCAGCATTGCATGAGACGATTGGAGTACATGCGATTGGTCTGTGAGTTTCCTGGTCCGCTAAACCAGTACAGTAAATGCTAGAAAAGCTGCACAGGTAAAAAAAAAGAAACGCTCCGTCACGAGGTAGTAATTCTCAATAATAAATCGGCTGTAGGTCCGGGTCTGGAGAGGACAGCGGCTGGGTCCGGATCCGGACTGCGGTCCGCCTATTAGTGACCTCTGGTGTAGAGGAAGAAGAGCAGTGGGGAGAGCACACACCCCTGGGGGGCGCCAGTGCTATTTGTCCGGGTGCTGGATGTGATGTTCCCCAGTCTGACCTGCTGACTCCTGTCACTGGTCCACTGACAGGTGGAGGCTGGCACGGTGAGCTGGGTGAGTTTGGTGCTGATGATGTGAGCGTTTGAAGCAGGCGGGAACTTCACACAGCTCCAGTGATCTGTTGAAGATCTGTGTGAAGACGGAGGCCAGTTGGTCTGCACAGATTTTCAGGCAGGATGGAGACTGTAGAATTTAAAAAGTTACAACAAAGCTGACATTTTTTACCAAATGTATTTCAGTGTTTTCTGTTTTCTTTAAAATATAAACTGCTGGACTTTAGGCCAGATGATTGCATCAGAATGTTGATTAAACCATTGTTTGTATCCTCTTTGTAATGTGAAGAAAACTGACACCTCTTTGTGTAGTGCCAGAAGGACTGTTTTGTTTTAACTGTTTCATTGACACTAAAGATAGGGTGTCAACCATTTTTAGGACAAGCCCTGTTGTTCTCTATGATTAGTTTAGAGCAAAAGAGTGTTTATTCCTGTAAATTGAAGGGGGTTTCACGTCTGGGATCAGCGCACTTTTGTCTGACCAAAAGTAATGAATACAATAATGGTACAGCCTTCCTTATTGGGTGACGAAGAAACCAACCAAACAACCAATGACTATGGACCTAATCAATGTGGAGGAAAAAGGACCCGCCATTTTGTGAGAATCGAGACTGTAAGCTGTGGATCTGGGAGGAGAAGCAGCTTTTCAGTCCACTGCCGGAGGTGGCTTTAGCTCAGTCTGTTAGGACTTGACTAGAAACTGTGAATCCTTACAATTGGACCAAGCTTCTCCTTTCTCAAAATCTGAAAACTTAACAAGACACAGAAACCGTGGCAGTGGGGGAAGGTGACTGTTTGAAGATGGTGTTGGAGTGGGGGAGAGGTGTGACTGTGGGCTTCTCAAACCTACAATAGAAACCATTCAGCTCGTCAGCCAGTCGTGGAATACCAGCAGAGTTGGGGGATGGTCTCCTGTAGTTAGTGAGTATCTCCAGGCCTCTCCACACTAACACAGGGTCGCTGGCTGTGAAGCTGTTTCCTAGCTTTTCTGCTTTGATCTCTTTAGTCAGTGTGTTCTTGGCCTGGTTGTACAGGTCTCTGTCCCCACTTCTGAAGGCCTCCTCTTTGGTCTGAAGAAGTTTTTCTGTGAACCAGGGTTTTTGGTTGTTGCATGTGCATTGACTCGTTGGTCCATTTTTTCACAATCTTTACAACAAGTTTAGCAGATTTCAGTCGCTGCCTGTAAGTGGGGATAAGATGAACCAGACAGTGATCAGAGAGTCCTAAGGATACACGGGGAACAGAGCGATAGGCGTCCTTTAATGTAGTGTAGCAGTGGTCCAGTCTGTTAGTGTCCCTGGTGGGACACTTAACATGCTGCCTGTACTTTTGAAGTTCATGGCTGAGGTTTGCTCTGTTAAAGTCCCTGAGAACAATGAGCAGGGAGTCCGGCCATGTGTAGTAACGCCTCACTAACACAGGTAAACGGTGACCAGAACAAACGAGGAAAACTCCAGCTGTGAATAAAAAGGTTTAAAGTTTAATAATAAGGTCTCCAAGTGAGGGCTACATGATTGCTTCAACATTATGACATCTGTACAACAACCTTTGTTTATGTAGAGACAGAGTCCCCCTCCCCCCTTTTTTCCCCATAAACTCTGTTACGCAATCCGCCCAGATTAAATCCCAGAAGTGAAGTGCGCTGTCCAGGATGTGCTTGGTGAGCCAGGACTCGGTAAAACAGAGGGCGGCAGATCTGCAGAAGTCCGAGTTAGTTCTGTTGAGGAGCAGCAGTTCATCAATTTTGTTGGCCAGAGAGTGGACATATGCCAGGTGGATACAAGGTAATGCAGTGCGAACACCCCGCTGTCTCAGATTAACCAGCGTGCCAGCACGCTTTCCCCTTCAGCGTCTCCAGTAGATCCCAAACAGAGCTGTCCGTTGTTTAAGAGCTCTTCTCTGCTAAATGTTACCAGAGAGGGACGGCAGAAAACAGGGTTAATAAACAAAAACACAAAAAGCACTACGGAGCGTATTCCAGAGGCTGCCATCCTCCACGGCGCCATCTTGAAGGCACCATTGAAGAAATGTAATGTTTTCAGCTTCCAAGAATTGTGTACAGATTCTTGCAACATCGGGCGGCGCATTATCATGCTGCAACATGAGGTGATGGTCGTGGATGAACAGCACAACAATGGGCCTCAAGATCTCGTCATGGTATCTCATTCAAAATGCCATCAACAAAACGCACCTGTGTTTGTTGTCCATAACACACGCCTGCCCATACCATAGCCCCACCGCCACCATGGCCCACTCAATCCACAACATTGATATCAGCAAACCGCTCACCCACACAACGGCATACACGCTGTCTGCCATCTGCCCTGTACAATGAAAACCGGGATTCATCTGTGAAGAAAACACCTCTCCAAAGTGCCAGATGCCATCGAATGTGAACATTTGCCCACTCAAGTCGGTTACGATGACGAACTGCAGTCAGGTCGAGACTCCGATGAGAATGACGAGCATGCAGATGAGCTTCCTTGACACGGTTCCTGACAGTTTGTGCAGAAATTCTTTGGTTATGCAAACCGATTGTTGCAACAGTTGTCCAGGTGGCTGGTCTCAGGCGATGTTGGAGGTGAAGATGCTGGATGTGGAGTTCCTGGGCTGGTGTAGTTACATGTGGTCTGCGGTTGTGAAGCTGGTTGGATGTACTGCAAAATTCTCTGAAACGCCTTTGGAGACAGCTTAAGGTAGAGAAATGAACAATGATAAAATGTTACCAGGCTGGTGAGCAGCTTCCGTATTTGCACTTGTAGTGGTACTTCCTATAAATATGAACAATGCAGAACAGACCATGATTCACTTGAAACAAATATGGAACAAGAGATATAAATATAAATTATTTCTATATTCAACAAAATTGTATCATGACTGACTTCACATATTTTACTATAAATCTGGTTTCT